ATATAGTAAGTTCTTGCTTTATTAAAATCTAATCGGATAATCTCTACTTTTAAAATAATAAAGCTTAGACCATCTACATTTAGTGAATATCTAATATAGTTGATTTTCAATCTACTATTTTGCTATTTGTTCTTATATGTGTCATGTAATTTTATTTCCTTTCCATTCCTTCTTTTGGTTCAATCGAGATTTCTAACATATTATTTTGCTTCTGATACTGGCTTATTAATTATATCTATATATGCTTAAGGGAGGTATATGTGTATTTATAGTAGGTAGTTTATGGTTTATAATTTGAATTACTGATTTATCATAGCCTACCTAAAATAATACTATGCCACTACAGGTATAGTATACGACAACTGTATAGTTTTTTCTTTCAACATTTTTGTTGTTTTTAAATATTTTTTTTATTTTAGTTGTAGATAGACACAGTACTTTTATTTTATTTTTATGTGGTGCTAGGGATTGAACTCAGTGCTCTCCATATGCGAGGCAAGCACTCTATCACTGAGCTGTGATCCCAGCCCCATTTTTATTATTTTTGTATTACATTTTGCTTCAATGCATGTTTTAAAAAGGATCTTCTTTCTTTCTTTCTTTCTTTCTTATTATCTATATTTCCATCTAAGTTACCTGAAATAGTAAAAAAAAAAAAAAAGAGAGAGAGAAAAAAAAAACTTTATGTTTACTATTTCTGGAATTATTCATTTCATATAACATCTAGATTTTTTCACATTTTATATGCATATCTGCTAACAACAAATCCCAGCTTTTGTCTTCAAAAAAGAAATAAGATTTTTTAAAAACCTTAGCTTTGCCTTCATTGATAGGTTCTGCACCCCCGCCCTCTTCTTTCAGCTCTTTAATGATATTGTTGTATTGTCTTTCAACCTGTTTAGGTCCTGATGGGATGTACGTGAACATCCTTATCCTTGTTTCTCTGTGTGCAATGTAACATTTTTCTTTGTGTGCTTTTAAGGGTTTCTCTCTCTCTGATTTTCAGTAATTTTATTATCATGAACCTTACTGTGATTTTCTTTCTGTTTATCCTGATTGTGGTTTATTGAGCTTCTTGGAACTGTAGATTCATAGTTTTCATTGAGTTTGGATGGTTTTCAACAATATTGCATCAACTACCTTTTTGGTTCCCATTTCTCCCATTTCCTGGCACTGTAAACATGTATTTTAGACTACTCGATTTTGTCACTGAGGTTCTTGGTCATCTTTTTAGTTCATTTTGTTAATTTTCTCCCTTGTGCTTCATTTTGAATAGTTTTTGTTGCTGTTGTTAATTCCACTGATTTTTTTTTCTTTGCAATGCTTAATCTTCTGTGAAAATGATCCAGTGAAATTTTCATTTCAGTTTTGTATTTTTCATTTTATAGGTTCTGTTTGGTTCTTTTTTATACATTCAACTTCTGTTCTCATTGAATTCATTTGCTACATTTAGATTTAAAAAAAATTAATTAGTTGATTATTATAATTTGGGGGGAGGGAGTACTGGGGATTGAATTCAGGGGTACTCAACCACTGAGCCACATGTCTCTAAATAAATACAAAATACACATGTCTCTAAATAAATACAAAATAGGTATTTTGTATTTATTCTCACTGAGTTGCTTAGCGCCTTACTCTTTCTGAGGCTGGCTTTGAACTCGCAATGCTCCTGCCTCAGCCTCCTGAGCCACTGGGATTACAGGCATGTGCCACCATGCCCAGCTTAATTGTTTATTTTAATGGGCAAAATCTGTATAGATTTGTCCAGTATAGCATGATGCTTTACAATGCACACATTATGGAATGACTTGATAGAACTAATTAATGTATGAATTATCTCACATGCTTATAATATTTTGCGAGAATACTTTAAATCTATTCTTTTAGCAATTTTCAAGAATATAAAACATTTAACTATTATCACTGTGTTGGATGATAGATCTCTTAAAATTATTCAATTTAACTGAAAATTTAAATCCTTTGACCAATATCTCCTATTCCCTGTCTTCTAGTATGTGTTCACCATTCTACTCCCTGCTTCTACAATTCCTTTTTCAGATAGTTTGATGTTGATATATTTTAAAAATTCATAGATTTTCATTTGTAAATTTTGTATCCTACAATTTTGATAAATTGATTTATTAGCTTTTGGGGGGGTAGAATTATTTTTTTAAATTCTTGAGCACCTTCATAATAGCTATTTTATCATAATAGTTTCTTGATTCCAGCAGACCTGTCATTTCTGGGTCTGCTTTTATTGATTGATTTTTCTCTTATCTGATTTACCCTGCTTTTTTACATACCTAGTAATTGTTTACCAGCTGCTAAACATTATGAATATTGCTTTGTAGAGTGTCTAGATTTTTTTTAGTTAAATAATATTAAATAGGGAGTAAAGAATGTGTGGTGGGCAGTAAAGTAACTTGCAGATCACTTTTTTCCCACCAAGACTTGTTTTTAAGCTTTGCTCAAGTGAGTCTATAATAACATTTACTTTAGGCTAATTTATTTCTATTAATAATTGTGACATCTATGGTCTCTAAATGTCTCAAAGGTCTGTGCAACCTTGGCTAGTTAGAACTTGAACATGTTTCTCCTATAAAAGCTCCAGAGACTGCTTAGCCTACAAAGTTCTAGCAGCTATTTGCCCAAACTCATGCAGTTTCTCTCTATGCATCTATAGTTCATTATTAAGCAATTGATCAAAGGGACATCTGTGCTTATTGCTGAAGTCTTTTTTTTTTCCTTATCTCCCTCTCTCTAGTGCTCTGTCCTGTACATTCCAGCTGCCTCAATCTGTCCAGACTCTGATTTCTGTCTTTTCAACTCATTAAGTGTATGAGTTTAGGCTCTTCCTATCTGCACTGTAATTTGGAAAGGACCTTTAGGCAGAAAGCTGCTGTGATAGCAGGACTTTCCTCATTTGCATCTGTCCTTGCCTTTAACATAATTCTGCACTACTTGTTGTCCAATTTTTGGAAACAGATGCTTCATGTATTTTGTCCTGATTTCTAGTGCTTTGCGGTGAGAAATCAATTCCAGAGTCGCTTACTCTAACACAGCCAGAGTGGAACAATGCTGCAAAGATTTTAAAACTCTGCAAATGATAAGTGAACTCCAGAATGCCTCCTTCTACAATGGATGGAGGGGGTGAAGAGGGAGACTCGGAGACAACTCTATAGCTTCTTTCTTGCTAGAGTTTAAGAAATGCATTTTATTTGGAAGCATTTTTGCCTCCATTTCAAAATGGAATTTAATGGAAATACTTATTTTTTGCAAGTTAGAAAAAGTTCCAACTTTAAATTTATGCTCTTCCCATAAATGACTATTAATTAGGCAGTTTTGCAAATACCGAAGTATTGTTAATTTGGATCAGTGATGATGAAGGGGCAGCTGCTGCTGCTTATAATACTGACTACATTAACTTAAGCACCTCCAGTCAGTACCAGGCACTGTGTTGGGGCACTTTGCATTGATTAATTTTACTCTTGAGAGACTCAAGGAAGTTAAGTTAGTTCCTCAAGTTCACACGCTAAGAACTAAATGCCCAGTGACTGAATTACTCCATGGTAAATTAGTGGCTGGAACTGGGAAACAATCTCTGCTCACCTCTAACAATGCCTCCTTCGTATCATGCTGCTCTCTGATTCTATCTTTACCTGAGCTTTCCCATCTGGCAAATTAAAGTGGAAAACAGTGAACTCCCTCCCCAGAGAGGCTGTGTTATTATATACATGTTTTGCATTATTTTGCTCTGAATAACAGCATATGTAAATGTGCTCCTGGAGATTAAAATTACCCTTATTTTGTAAAACTTGGCCTATTCCACTAGGGTGAATAGTTGGAAATTATGGGGAGGAGAAGGCAGGCTGGAGAGAATGTTAACTGGCTTGGAATTGCTTTTCCTCCTTTCTGCCCACCCGTACATAGTCGTGTTCAGACACAAGCTGCCATTAGCAGAGTGAAGAGAAGTTTCCCATCGTGGAGTACTAGCTGGTTCTGATGTTTGGTTTCCAGAGCGGGTTAATCCAAATATTAATGCCTGTGTCCCAGGTTGATACGTAGGGGCAGATGTTCTTGCTGAGAAGAATGAAAGCTTCCTGTTGTACCTGGAAACCCTTATCACACCTGGTGCCCAGCAGGGTCACAAAGAGATTCTGGTTAACACGGGCACATGGTGGCTGCCAACCTCTTGTGCAGAGGCTGGCGTGGCCCGTGGCTTGGGCTGTCCGTGGGCCCTGTGTTGTTGAGCCATCCCTATCTTGAACTGCCTTTCCTGGCATTTGAATCATCACTTCGATGATGTGATAATATCTGCAAGTTGGGAAAATAAAAGTGGCATTTGTTTAGCTATAATTAATGAAATATTTATGTTGCATGAGACTATGTGATAAAACCTTAGGCTTAGAGTCCTTGTGCTTCTGATTACATTTGGGATTTTTTTTTCTGTGACCAGACATTCTGACGCCAGCTCTTTTACACTGAGCAGATGTCATGTAGTAAAAATGGGTGCCAGATGCTGTGAGCCGCAGAAGGGCGATTTGTTTAAGAGCTGGCTCCGACTTTTTTGCATTCAATTACTCTGTAGAAAGAACCTTACACAAGTGTTTAGGTAACTCAGCTAACTTCAGACATGCATTTTAATAATAGATCTCATCTCTGAATGCATTGTAAGCAACATACCGTATAAATGGTGTTTAAGGAATTAATTGATTTCTGCATAATACCTTGCTTTTTGGTTTTCTTGGCTTTTTTTTTTTAATATGAGAAGAGAGCTGCAAAACTCTTGGCAGGGATCCAGAAATGTAATTAATGTAGAGGGCCAAATTTTTAGTTGCCCTTAGGTACTGCTTCCCCAAGCTCCTGGCAGGTGCAGCTCGGGAAAGGCAGGGAGGGAGGACATGGGGTAAGTGCAAGGAGGGAGAGGCAGCTTTGGTGCACAGAGCAAAAAAAAAAAAAAGAAGCTAACAGTTCAGTAAGTTCTTCTCTTCCCATTTCAGGCTCCAAGCACATCCCTGTTGGAGCCCAGGTGACAGAGGCTGCCTCTCCATCTTCCTCGGCCACCTCCTCCTCTTCAGCAGATGAAGAATACGATTCCCCATTTTCCTGGAGGTCAAAGGTAACTTCATTTGGAAAACCAAACAAGGTGTTGGTCAGCCTCAGGTTTCAGACCCAGTGTGGGCTCTTAGCAGCAGTGAATCCATTAGGAGGACCATGGTGCTTTGCCTCCGAAGCAGCCCTTCTTTTTACTTGGAATACCCCAAAAACTACCTCCATAAAAAAGAAAAAAAGAAAAAAAAACAACCTTTCTCAGGGACTCTAATTGGGAAAGGGAAAAAAAGAGGCATATTTACTTGAAACCATTTGGTAACTGCAGCTCTTAAAAGCTGGTTTAATATGTGGTCCAACAAGCAAACCATTGAAAAAATTACACCAAGCAGATGCATATTTCCCCGAGGGAAGCACAACTTCATTTAAGAAGCACTAGAGGCAGATTGCATGGAAAATGTGATGTTTATTCTAATCAGAACTATGAAATGCATCTAGACATGGACACTCTGAGGATCCTACAACAGAAGGGGCTAGCCATGTGCCTGCGGGGGAGGCAGCAGTCTTCTTCATTTAGGGAACATTAATACTTCTAGAGAATACTTTAAACAACTCTCGTGCCCATAGAGAAAGCTGTAGATGTTTCTGTCTGTCACAGACTCAGGGACAAGCATCCAAAACCAAAACCCACTGGTGTTTTCTTTATCCACTGGGGCTGGAGCCTTTCCACTGGGACCAGGGAGGGGTGATAGATATCTGGACCTAAAATGTTTCCCGGGTGGACAGAGAAGCAGTTCACTGCTCTGGTGGTATTTATTTTTTGGAGCAGTGTTGGGGAGGGAGGGAGAGACCCAAATTTATTTACTGAGACTCAACTTTTCCATATCTGGCATTGGGAGCTTTGGCATCACCTCAAGTCACTCGGGGGTTCCAATTCCCCATGGTTTAGCTTGGAACAGTCAGAAGGGGGCTGGGACAAGAGAGAGAGAGAGAGAGAGAGAGAGAGAGAGACGGGCGGGGGGGAGGGGAGATGGAGAGAGAGCGTGTATGGATTTCTCATTTTTAAACGTGCGGCTTCTCTGATTAGCTTAATGCTCAACACAATGGATTGTGCATTGTGATTCTGGAGTTTCCTTTCTGCCCCATTATCCCCTTGAGGGACCCTAAGTTAATTCTGTGTTCAAATGAGACAGAAATCCCAGCTTTGACGGCTTCCACACTCAAGGAGAATAAAAGATTGGAGTGGCCAAAACACATGGAAGTAGCAAGATGATGTTTTTAAGGGCCAGCCTTACAAATAGTTCCTTGTCCTCCTGCTGGCCCAGCACAGAGCTAGTTGTCACTTATGCTGGCCGGGTGGCAAAAGCATGCCTGCTTTGCCTGGCTTCTGAGGCATCCTGCTCTTACAGGAAGGGAAACTGGCAGCAGGATCCCTTACTCATAAGGACTCACTCACACTGAAGGAACAAGGGGAAGTGTTTGTCTTCTAGTTTCCTCATTTCTTCTGTCCCGTGTCGGTGTGTCCCCAGCCAGGTGGTATAAAGCCCAGGCAGCTCAAATGACCCTCTGTACAGGAAACTGGAGACTGGATATGTCCCCTCTGCCTCTTCCTTTTGCTCCCACCTGCCCCACCTTTGCCTTTCCGCCCAGACCCACACCTGGATCTGAGACAGACAGGAAACCATGTGGTTCGGCCAGCTTTCTCCCTTTTCCTCTACTGTCTCTTTCCTTCCCTAGCCCTCAGCCTCTCCCCTCGCCTCTCTGCATTGTCTCTCTATTGAGAATAGAAAAACTGAGCCTGGCATATAATAAAGCCATGGGAATGCTTGTTCTTAAAGCAGACTTCCTTTCTACATCAACATCATCTTTTTTTTTTTTTTTTGATACCAAGAATTGAACCCAGGAGTGCTTAACCACTGAGCCACACCCCCATCCCAATTTTGTATTTTATTTAGAGACAGGGTCTCACCAAGTTGCTTAGCGCCTTGCTAAGTTGCTGAGGCTGGCTTTGAACTCGCAATCCTCCTGCCTCAGACTCCTGAGCCGCTGAGATTATAGGCATGCGCCACTGAGCCTGGCTCAATACCTTTTTGGTAAGAGATAATCACTAACTATTTCCTCTCCCAGGTTCTGTTTGGTGACTCTCGATAAAGCAGTCAGGGCTTGATGTTTTACTGCTGGGAAACACTAAGACCACACGGGGTTGTTGAGGCCACACCCCCATCCCCACTGCTCTGCCTTTCCCAGGAGTTGGATTAATGGTCTCCCTTTAAAGGGAAATATTGGCACTTAATTTCTATAAGATCCACCATAGAGCAGGGGTCCTTGATGTGCCCCAACAGTTTATGGCAAGAGGAAAGGCAATGTAGACTGGATGGAAATGAAGATATTGGATTCAGCCTGTCTAGGCTTAACTCCTACCTCTCCCCATTACTAATTGTGTCAGTTTGGGGAAATTATTTAACCACTCTGATTTTTTTATTTCTACATTTACAGAATAAATACAATCTGAGGAATAAATGAGATGATACATGTGAAGTAATGAGTTCAGTATGGCATGTAGCACTCAATACCTGTTAGGATTTATCATGTTGGTCAGTAGGATGGCCACTCCAGAGATACTTGTTAAGTCAATGAATTTATTTTCCATACAGGTTGAGTTGGTCTTCTCTGGATCGCAGCTTGTTGATCCCTACCACCTCTCTCCCTGCACCAGCCTCTCCTCAAAGATCCTAGCTACCAACTGAAGGGTTCCCCATGCAAAAGGCCTGAAACCCCTCTTCAGGCTGATTGATAGTCATCTGGAAGGATTCCCAAAGAAACAAAGATGATGTAATATAAGAAAAATTGGGTTCTGAGAGCCAAAATATTTTTTCCCAGCATGAATAGCTTCAGGATTTAGGTCCTAAGGAGAATTCAAGAAAATCAAATCTCATTTTTAAAGTGAATGTTTCCACTGATAATGGGCAAAGCTTCCGGAGGCTTCAAACTGGATGCTCGTGATGGTTTCTCCATCCGTAGCCAAGGAGGTGACAGAGAGAACCACAAGGCCCTGAAGCATAAGTGCTTTCAAAGAATAGTCTCTGACCTCTGGTTTGGACCCAGATTGCCCTGGCAGTAGGTCTTTAAATCTCTATTCCCCATTTATGGATTGACAATCATTGAATGAGAAAATAATCATCACAGTCTTTGAGTGCCCGGATATGAAGCTAGTTGCAGCAATTTTTAAATTCCCTATTTGTTTTCTGAGATAATAGATATGCCAGTTCCCCTGATATGATCATTGCACATTTTATAAATGCATTAAAGTATCTCACTAGACCCCATAAATATGTATAGTCACTACATGTCAATTAAAATATAAAAAATAAGTTCCATATTTGTTTCTTCCAGTATTGAAAAGTAAGGTCTAGCATGTTATAATCCTCATTCTAATATGTATAAAGTTGATGTGTTTGTTCAGAGAAGGTAAACTCACAGTAAAACTAGCCCAATTTGAACATTTATCTTAACTATACCGGGTGTGTGTGTGTGTGGTTTAAAACATACTCCTACACCCAAAAAGTAATAGATTTTAGTAGAACATAGTCATGTTGATTTATAATACAAAATAATATGTTGGTAGTGAAAATCATGTTATTGATTATAGTCTGATCTCTTTTTCTGAGCCTTCTGCAAAGCGCTTGCCCACATCATCTCGCTTTGCCCTTGTTGTATCCCTTCGAGGTGGGCATTGAATCCTCCTCATCACTTGGAAGAGGACTCTGGCATTCAGAAAGCTGAGGAATCTTCTGAAGTTCACACAGCTCCTCTGGGAATTGATGGCAGCTTTTCTTGGCCCAGGTCGGGGCCATTGCTCTGCTGCTTCTCTGATCAGGAAAATCTCCAATTGGTAGAAGTGCCACACCACCACTTCTTCTTTCCTTGGTATCTAAAACCTTGGGAGTGGCACCATCGAGAGCCAGACATCTGTTTTACATGGATCAGTACTGGATATTCTTTTTTCCCCCTCTTTCTGTCTTTGAACAAGTCCAGGCATACACAAAACCCATGATGATAATGCTGTATTTGTACAAGCAAAGTGAGGTACGGATGGGAAGTAGCCTTATGCCAAATGTTTCAAAACCAAGAAACACTTTACTTTGAATTATGTAGATACATTCTCCTGTTTATAAGTTTATTTATATATTGTAGACCCAACTTTAGTACTGTTTAAAGTTTTCAACTGGTGTTCATTGTGTGTGTGTGTGTGTGTGTGTGTGTATGCCTGCCTGCCTGGGGCCATCATCCCTGGGCAGGGTGGAAGCACCCATATAAGTCTAATTATTCTATTATTTCATTCTTCAACTGAGCTAAACCTAGTTAGTACTTGATTAAAGCCTCTCCCACCTATCCTCCCCCCCACACACACACACACACACTTACATTCTGACACCCACTAGCCATGTGTGGCCACTTAAATTCATTAAAATTAAATTTAAAATTCAATTTCTTCTTCACATTCGTCTCATTTCCAGTGTCTGATAGGCACAGAGGGCCATATTTTATACAGCACGGATACAGCTTATTTCCATCTCTGCCGGAAGTGATAGAGGATGCCATCATCCTAGAAGCTAAGCCAATGGCTGGGAGCTGTGGAAGGGCGGAAGACTGTGAAGACAATTTGTAAATTTCAGTCCTGCTTTTAGCAGTCTTATTTTTCCTTCTCTATTGTTTCCCTTAGGAAGAGAAGATACTCAGAAGAAGGAGGAAACTGGAAAAAGCAACAAGGCAATTGGTTAAGCAAGAAGAGTTGAAAAGACTTTATAAAGCTCAGGTCAGAAGATAGACATGAGATGAGCAAGTGGGCCTGGGGCTGCATGGGAAGGCCCCTCGGGGTCTGTGCTGTGTTGGGGAGGTGGGCTTTCTGGGAAAGGCCCGTCTCTTCTCTGAGGGACCAGGTGTGTGGCTTTCTAAAGGCCTTGGCCCAGTCCCTAGTGGGACTTTGGGCCAGGTGCTGAGCTGGCCTACTCCCAGCCACCTTTCCATCTGCAGACGTGTGTTCTGCAAAGCAAAGCTGAGACAAGAATCTGCATATGGCCTTGGGAATCACCCTGAACCCTGACTGCCTTATAACAGTGACCTTGGCTTTGTCCTCTGAGGACACATATCTTCCATCAACTCCCTGAATGTCTTTGCTAAGATGACAGCTAATGGGAGCTGTCTCTATTTCAGGATTTGTTGAAAGCATCTGTATCCAGCACTCCAATACAGATTTCCTGGCCTGATGGTTTACTCCAAACATTTCTGCCCAAGGTCATTGCCAACAGGCAAAATAAAACAGAAAATCTAGGCATCCTCCATCTTCCTGAAGACCCCAAGCCATGTCTTGAAGAATAGCTGGATTTGAGGATATAAGGACTTAGAATGACCACTCATGTTAATTCATGTACCCTTCCCTCCCTTTTTCCTTTTATCTAGTCATGTAACCCTGTGTGTTAGTCAGCTTCCCATTACTGTAACAAAATACCTGACATAATCAACTGAAAAAGAAAAAGGGTTTATTTTGGTTCATAGTTTCAGAGAGCCTAGTTCATGATTAGTGGTCCTGTTCCTTTGAGCCTGTGGTGACACAGCCGTCATGGTGGGAATGTGTACTGGAGCAACCTGCTCACCTCATGGTGGCTGGGAAGCAAAGAGAGAGACAGAAGAGGAGCTGGAATCCCAATATCCCCTTCAAGGGCACATCTCAATGATATAACTTCCTTCCAGTAGGCCCCACCTCCTAGAGGTTTCACCACCTCCAAATAGCACCATGGGCTGGGGGGCTGGGGACCAAGCCTTTAATATGTAGGCCTTTGGGGAACATTACAGATCCAAACTACAGCATCCTTAAATAGCTCCTGCCAAGAATGAGTCCTTTTACCAGCTTCCATGATCTTTCTCAGTAACTGACTCAGGGCCACTTCCACATCCTGGACAGGAATGACTCTATAAATTCCCCTCTTTCCGCTCTCAACTTCTAAAACAGGTTTCCTTAAAAATGTTTCCACTTGTCCTTCTAAGAGCAAGACATGTCTATATGACACTGATTGGCAGGTCTTGCAATTTCTCACTTCAGGCAGTAAGAAGAATTACAATGGTCTTTTGAGTCCTAACCTGCTAGCACCCGTGGTGGCCCTCTTTGATCTCTGAGTTCACCCTTCTTTTTAAAGACTCACCACTGCGTAGGTCTGCTTGGGCTGCCATCACCAAATGCCACAGACTGGTGGGGCTTAAACAACAGACATGGGTCTTCCCACCCTTCTGGAGGCTGCAAGTCTAACATCAAGGTGCCATTCAGCTTGGAGAGTGGTGAAGTCTCTTCCTGGCTGGCAGACAGCTGCCCTGGCTGGGTCCGCACATGATCTTCTGCAAGTGCACATGTGGAGAGAGAGACCTCTGTTGTCTCTTCCTCTTCTTATAAGGACAGACCTATCAGATCAGGGCCCCATCCTTGTGACCTCACGTGACCATTACTGGCTCCTTCTAGACCCTGTCTCCAAATACAGCCCCACTGGGACTTAGGGCCTCAACTATGAATTTGGGGAAAACAGAATTTAGTCCCTAACAATCATATAGCTGTACTGCACAGGCATCAGTAGTAAAGTCATTTAACAGCTTCCCTTCTTAGTAATTCTACAGCACACTTGCAAGAGATGGATTTATAAAGGTACAATAATGTCATTAAAGGACAGACAGAAAGGAAGAGGGCATGAAATTATAAGTAATTATAGACAGAATCTCTGTCTATGTCAGACTTTATGTTTTGAACTTGAATACTCTTAGCTGGGACAAGAGAGCCAGGGGGCTGCTCAGAACCCACCCCCTGGTTGGGTCTCTTCACGGGATCAATGATGCCTTGGCTACTGTGCCCGTGGTTCCAGGGGAGAAGGAAAAGCATGTGGGTTAAGGAGGAAGGAATGAGACAGTGCAGAAGTCCAATAGAAAAAGAATGCAGGTGTCCTGCCTGCCCAGACAGCTGACAGTTCCTTCAACGTTTCTCTTCTGACAGGTGCAAAATCCATTTTGCCAAAGGATGTCCCTTTGGGCAGCATGGGTCTGGTGTGAGGTAGCAGAGAAAATTGATGAGGATAAAGAAAATTATATAGGAAAGGCTTTCCCTAGCTCTCCTTCCCAACAGACTTCAAGGAATAATAGCTAGCAGGGAAAATAAATGTATTAATGCCAGCCCAGTCGTGACCCCAAACCTTAATAGGTGCTATGGAGAGTCTAAGGAGAGTATGAGTTGTCCCTTAATGTGTTAAATAAACATCATGTGTCTTGTCTTAATAACTTGCTTGTCACAAAGCCACAGTACACTTCTACAGTGACAGAACCCTGGGCATCAGCCTGAGGTGCAAGAAAAGCGTAGGTGCCATTTGTGGCTAAGGACAGTAGCAGGATAATCCTGAACCCCAGAAGCTGAGCAGGTCTCCTGCCCATATCATATTCTGGAGAAGTGTCTGCTGGCTCTCCTTGAGAAAATAGAACCTGGACATACTTCTCTGAGCTCGTATTCTGCAGTCCGGATCATTATGCTATGGCCATAGTCAGAGGCTATGGGCTCCAAGGAACCCAGGAACCACGAGCACCACCTACAATCCCTGCAGTCCCATCCTGGAGGACTCCAGTGTGCCTGACCTTATCAGGGGACTGTTTTGATAATGTACTTGGCAGCAGATGGAAAACACAGGGAACATTAAGGTCTGCTGGTCTGGGAATTCCGAGGCCCTTGGCCAGGACATGAAGGCAGTAAGGTCACTCGCGACAGCGCCTCTTCCTCCTGGAGAGCCAGTGGCACAATCAGCCCCCTTGATATGTGTCCAGTGCTCCCTCGTAATGTGTGATCCTGGTGTTGCAGGCCATCCAGAGGCAGCTGGAGGAGGTAGAGGAGCGGCAGAGGGCTTCCGAGATCCAGGGCGTGAGGCTGGAGAAGGCACTGCGAGGAGAAGCAGGTACGGCACCCAAGCAACGGGGTGCGGGTCTTAGTCTACGGTTTGAGAATGGTGCTGGTCCTATCCTAGGGGCAAAACAAAGAACATGTCCCGTCCCCCCAGAGATCTGTCAACGTGGACAAGTAGTGCTGAGTCCACATCTGCTTCACACTTTTTTTTAAGCTTTTTTTTTTTTTTTAAATAACTTATTTTTATTTGTATACATGACAATAGAATGCATTTTGACATTTTTACATAATGAAGTATAACTTCCCATTCTTGTGGTTGTACATGGTATGGAGTTATACTGGTCGTGTATTCATATAGGAACATGGAAAATTTATGTCTGATTCATTCTACTGTCTTTCCTATACTCATTCCCCGTCCCTTCCCTTCATTTCTCTTTGTTGAAGCCAATGAACTTCTGTTCTTCCCTCCTTCTCTTATTGTATGTTTGCATCCGAATATCAGAGAGAAATTTAACCTTTGGTTTGGGGGGGATTGGTTTATTTTACATATCATGATAATCTCCAGTTCCATCCATTTACTGTTAAATGCCATAATTTCATTCTTCTCTATAGCTGAGTAATATTCCATTGTGTGTATATACCGCATTTTTTAAGTCCATTCCTCTGTTGAAGGGCACCTAGGTTGGTTCCATAGCTTAGCTATTGTGAATTGAGCTGCTATCAACATTCATGTGGCTGTGTCACTAGGGTATGCTGGAAATCATCCCATTTTACACTAATATTTTTCCTTTGCATGCCTGACTAGAAAATAGAAAACAAAAGGCTAAATTTATTTCTCTTACTAATACCTAAAGGTATATATCGTTTACACTAACTTCCCTCCTTTTGTCTAGTTTTTCTATATCCTAAGTTCACATTCCTGCTTCACACTTTAAAAATCCCATAGTGGCTGTGCTTGGAGGTGCATGCCTATAATCCCAGCAACTTGGCAGGAGGATTCCAAATTTGAGGACAGTCTCAACAACTTAGTGAGATGCTGAGAAACTTAGCAAGACCATTTCAGAATTAAAAAAAGAAAGCAAGCACCGGGGGGGGAAGAAAAACCTACCTGGTGGTTCAATATGAAGTTCCTCTGGGCATTGGTCAGCTGGTGGACCTTGTCACTGCTCTTTGAGACATGCAGCCTCTATTCTGGCTAGCATAAATGTCCTTTGCAATTCAGGGTTTAAGATACATGCAGGGGAAATATTTGGGAATTTGAGCAATTTTTGGAAGTGATTCCAAGCTCAGTTAAAGTCCTGGTTTCTCTCTTTTCCTTCTGTATCACCTGGGGCTAGTCACGTTGTAAACCTTTATAAACTTTCATTTTTTCTCATCGAAAACTGACATGCGAGTGCTTTTCTGCCTTATAAACTGAAATGATGATTAAAGAAGAAATTATACATGATGCTGAATTGAATCAGCCCTTGCCTGGACTTAGGTAAAAGCAATAAATGGGAATGGCCCACGGAGCTTCAGACTCCTACATTCAAATCGAGCCCATCCCTGAACTCCTGCCACGTGCTGGACATGAAGGCACATACCCATCACACTACGGTGATGGGTATGACAACGTTTCTGCCTTGAGAAGTTTATAGTCCATTTGTCCACTGAGAGACAGAGACAGGTGAACAGGTGGAGCACAGTACAGTATGAGAGCTATAATAGCATGAGGGGGCCGTGCCAGTGAACCAAGATCTTAGAGGGAGAGAGTGATCAGGCCAGGCTCCTTGGGAAAGGTGGTGTGCAAGATGAGAATCGGGAGGAAGAACAGGAATTCACCAGTGAGGGCTCAGTTTCCTTAAGTGGGAGTGATGACCAGACTTGCTTCTTGAGCTTGCACCAAGGATTAGCTAAAACAGCTCACACAAAACCCCTCGCTCAGGGCCTGGCATCCAGTGAATGATTAATCAAGTTTTTTTTTTCCTTTTCTTACTAATTTACACTGGATTTCCTTGTAAAGAGAACCTCCTCATCAGTACTTATCTGTAGGAATCTCTTGGTTGCAGCAAAAAGCCTGGGAAGTGAAAAGGACACACCAGCAGAGCTGGGGCCTGTGTCCGTTTGCCAGTAGGAACACAGGTCAACATGTGACATGGTTCTGCTCCCATTAGGCTGGGCAGAATTGGGAAAGTTGCTTAATGTCTCTGGCCCCAGATTCCTATCTGAAAGATGGAGATGATAATTCCTGTATTGTCAAGTCATTTTGAGAATTAAGAAGTTGATGGGCAAACATCTACCAGGGTGTCTACTAGAGTGCTGGCATCCAACAAACACTACCTAATCTTATTTTGCAAAATATTAAGTCTCCACACACATATACGTTTAAAGAACTGTCTTTCTAATCTTGACTGTTTGAAATTTAAATCATAGATACCAAATTTCTAAAGCTTCTTTTGAAAATTTCCCTCATACCAGTTGTAAAAAAAAAAAAAAAAAGAAAAGAAAAGAAAGAAAGAAAAAGAAAAAGCAAAGCAAGCTAGCTAGCTAGCTATTTTGAATTTCACCTAAAGAAATCCTGCCAGTGGATAGTGTTTTCAAAGGCGTGCCAAGCCCGTCAGAAGATGGATTCCATTCATTCCCTCTATGTCCTTGTTAATTTAATTCCCCTGTTAAGTTTATGGGCCTTTTTGTCCTTGAATATCCTTGTGGGGGTGACAGATACAGATCAACAAGGGGGGGGGGGTGGAGACAAAAAAGAGTCAAGTCATGGAGTATGGCCTTCCTGGAGACCCACAGGAAGAGTTGTAAGCCAGGCCATCAGAATTAATACACTGTAACTCATAATAACATTTGTGTAATAATAATATTCCTTTGCAGTTCAATATTCTATCCAGTCCCTTTAAGAGATTGCCCTGTTGCTTAATGAATGACCAATGCTTATTAGGTTAAGTTGTATTTGAGCTGGCCTCTGCTGCTCCGGTTCAAGTGATTTAATGGGAATTATTTAATAGGTATTATTAGGATAATTAGAAAATGATCACAGTTAGGCAATAATATTGAGCTGTAAAGGTTGTGAATAACCAAATTTAGAGACAGGCCTGAAAACAGGAGTACCCTGCGACAGTCAGGCCAGGCTCCTCTAATAATTATGTGCGGCAGCCTGAAAGGGCCTTTTGTTCCTGGGAGTTATTCATTAGGGGGGCGTTGAATTAGAGGACCGTGCGGGGGTACAGGACAAGGGCCATGATGGCTGATGAGCAAAATGAGGCTTTGATGAGCTCCTAATTGTCCTGACAACAATTCCTGCTTTCTTCTTCCCCATCAATCAGAAATGAGCTCCTCCGCTCCCCCGGGATGGATTTTTCCCCATTTTGTGGAGAAAAGGGAAACAAAGAAAAACAGAAATCTGACCCATCCACCCTAGATGACAAATCATGATGATTTGCAGGACATGTCTGTGTCTGTCTGTCTTTGACAAAGGCGATGGCATCCCCCCATGGTCCTATCTGCACAGGTGGTGGACAGGACTAGCGGTGCCCTCATTCCTGGGGGCTGCCCTCGGTGGGAAGGCCACCCTGACTCGGCCGGCCACTAAGCCCCTTCTCGGTGGAGGCACTGTTTGCTATCCACTGGTTTGTTGGTGGCCAACATGGTGGTCAGTGTTGCCCACAGGGGCCCCTGGATACCCCCATTTATCAAGAGACCACCCTTCAAACCTAAGTGGCCCAGATGTCTGAATCTGAGCTTTCTCTCCATATCTGGAAAGAGGTGAAATCTGAGGAAAACTGAGCAGCTTCAAAGGAGAAAGGATTTATCTGAAGGGAAAGTGGACAATTTATTCCTCCCTTATTGTTTAACTCACTTTATCAGCTGGTTGTCTGCATTCGGCTTCTTGCCTTTTTTGGATGGTTTTCAGATGGTTTCTCCTTTATTAAGGGGTTCACAAAGACAAGTATGATGAGTGAGGCTGCCAGCAGGTGGCAGCAGGAGCACACATTATAAGGAGAAACTTCAAGGACGATTTAGACAGGAAGAGGGAAGTAGTTTGGTTTATACTCTGTGGTTTTCATCTTGACTACAGCTGAGGAAAAGAAGGAATAATATTTTCCTAAATAATTTAAACATGAGTCCTGATGGGGGGAAAAAAACAAAACAGGTATTAGACGCTCCTGAGTTTGAATCTTGGTGTTGCCATTATAAAGCAAATACCTCTCTGACAAATTTTCTCCTCTGTAAAATGGGACTAATAATCTCCACCTACTGGGGTTGTAAAAAGAAAACATTAAATAATATGATGTTGGTAAATCATCTGAAAAGGAGCCTGGCATATAATGGGTGTTCCAAAAAGATTCATTCCTTCTCCTTCCTTTTATATCCCCATCACTTGAAAATGCAGTTTTCTCAAATTGTGTTCATTTGCTTATTTATTCACTCTGTTCACTTATAACTATATTCCCTAGAAGAGATTTAAGCTGGTTTCTATAAATACAAAAAAATACATGCAGTTCACATGTTTTGTCCAAGTGAGAATCTCATTGCAGATTCATTGTTGTGCCCCAACAAAACACCACTGATTCCATAAAAGCAGTTCAACAATGAGAGCAGAACACTGTGGTTCTAAAGCCTGCCTCTCTGATAGCCAGCCATCACTTGGGAATGGATCTGGGGACCGGATATCGTTTAGGAAACCTTCCAGAACTATTTGTTCTCTAAATGTACCCAAAGGCGGTCAACTCAAGGTTATACACATGTCCGGTTACTGTGCTTGTAAAGGTCAGCAGAACAGGGAAGTGTTGAGGACCCTCCATGTTCAAGGAGTCTGACTGTTTGAATAGAGGTAAGCATAAAAATGGAACCACAGATAATATTTCACCCCAGAATAAAATAGGATATGGTCAGAAAAAGGACTCAAACTATTGAGAATGTAAGAGTAACAAGAATCCAGAGTTAATGAAGCAAGGAATTTGAGTTGGTTTGCCTTAGCTTTATAGGTTCTGGATCCTTCCAGTGAAATTTAGTGAATCACAGGAAGGGAGTTTATTATCCATAGCACAATGTACAGCAGGAGCATCAGCATGGTGGCACAAGTGGCCTGTGCCAAGTCCCAGGGTATGACATAATAGGCCTGGATGGCACCTGTGCACACCAAGGTGTGTACCACAGCTAAGGATCCCCGGGTGAAGAACTCAACAACTCTGGAGCAAATGCTAAGTGGGCCTGTAGCTCTTTTCCAGGAAGCAGGTCATTGTGCAGTGGTCATCCTAGGGCGTGCCTACCTACTTCTCAGAATTATCTACCTGGCTAGTTTCAGGAATGGCTCAAGGTCAGAGGCTGGCTAGACCTTGCAGTTTGACACACTCAGTGAAGACGTGCAAGGATGTTCACAGTCCATGGAAGACTGCCCTGCTCGACAAATATCCACAATCCATCTATTGGGTGGGCCCTGGAAAAAGTCAGTGTCCTCTTTATAGGCCAAAAGTTGACTGTAAAGACCAAAGACAACCCTCTTAAACTGATTTTTTAAAAATAATTGACAGAAATAAAGAACAAAAAGGACAGACTAGACCAAAGATACAGTAAAAATTCAAAGAGACAAAAGAATCCCATGAACACTAATCCCATTAATTTTAAATTCTGGCAATCTAAGTGTGATTTGACAGTCTCCATATTTAAAGATTAAAGAGAAAAGCTATATGAGCTTTTCAATACAATAAGGAAAATCATATGACAAAATTGAACATCTATTTGGGATACAAAAAAAAAATAACTTTTGGCAAAAGAAGCAATAGAACTTTCTTAATTTGAAGAGTCTCTTCCAAACCCCTGCAGCAACATTGTTGAATAGGAGCATTCTTTTCAAAATCAGTAATAGATGAGGTTGCCTACCATGACATCTTCTATTCAGCTTGGTACATGCTTTTCTAGCCAGTTCAGTAAGGCAAGGGGTGGGGGGTGGGGGCAACATAAAGTTTGGAAAGGAAGAGACACATTTTTATTGTTTTCAGATTGCCCACATGGAAAACCCAAATGGGCATACCAAAGAAATTATTAAAAATAATAAGATCCAATATCATAGTCCATAGATATAAGATCAAACTGGTAAGATCAATTGCATTTCTATATCTCCTCATCAAGCACCTAAAAAAAATGAAATAACAAAGATGAGATCAATTACAGTAACATCAAAAACAATAAGGTACTTGGGAATAAATCCAACAAAAAATGTGTACCACCTTTATGGAGCCAATTTTAATGCTTTACTGAAAGTCACCAAAGGAACCAAACATAATCCCACATATCTAAAAACTTGATATAAACCAGCAGTGGGGTTGGACATTACAAGAAACAAATGACTCTAAGACAATTGGTTTTCCATATAGGAAAAAAAATTGAAATTAGGTCTTATATCATATATGCATATCAATTCCATATAGATTATAACTTTAATTTGAAAATGAAATTTGAGAAGTTAAGAAAAATCTCTCTTGACCTCACACTGGTAGTTAATAGACACTATAAAGGAAATGAAAGAAAAACCACTAATGCAGAAAATATGTTTGCAGCCAAACATATTTAAACCAAAGGGAAAAAATTAGTATTCTAGTATATTCTTGTTATGGTTTGGATAGGAGGTATCCCCCAATAACCTCACATGATAGACCATGAAGTGATGTTCAGAGGTGAAATGATTAGATTATGAGAGCTGCAACCCAATCAGTGGGTTGATCCATTTGATGGATCAATCATTTGAATGGCTCACTGAGTAGTAACTCTAGGCAGATGGGGTGTGGCTGAAGGAAGTAGGTCACTGTTGAGGGGGTGTGCCTTTGGGAATTATATTTTGTCCCTGCTCCTTGCATGTGTGCGTGCTTGTGTGGTCTCTCTCTCTCTCTCTCTCTCTCTCTCTCTCTCTCTCTCTCTCTCTCTCTCTCTTTCTCTGTTTTCTGGCTGCCATGAGCTGAGCAGCTTTGATCCGCCACACCCTTTCACTATCATGTTCTTCCCCATCTCAGGGCCAGAGCAATGGAGTCAGCCGACCTCTGAAACCATGAGCCAAAATTAACTTTTCCTTTTCAAAGTTATTTTTCTTGTCAGGTATTTTGGTCATAGCGACCAAAAGTTAACTAACCCAATTCTCAAGTTCTTGCATATCAATAAGAAATAGGCACACAACCCAACATGAAAATAGACAAATGATATAAATATACATTTCACAACAGAAGAACAGTTAATGGGCAATAAACACAAGAAAAAGACGCAGATATTGTAAGTATTTAGGAAAATACAAATTCAGTCTACAATAAACTATTTTAAACTAATAAAGTATCCAACTTAAAAAAATCTGATGATATTGAAATTAGAAAAAGATGAGGCATAAAGATGCTTTTATTCAATGTCAGCATAAATTGTCACATTTTGGAAGATGAGTCAGCTTTGTGCTGTTAAGCTGAACATGTGCATACCCTACAATTCCAGAATTTCATTCCTAAGTGCGTCTTCCAGAGAAACTCTTGCCACATGGACCAGAAGATATGTACAAATATTCATAGTGACATCATTCCTAGGAGCAGAAGTCTAAGGGCAACCTACATATCTATTAACAGGGAAATGGATCATTTGTGGCATTGTGTGAACAGTATACATAGAGCAGTAAAAATGAATGAACAACATAGGTACATTTGTGCAAAGTAATATTGAATTTAAAATGAGCAAATTGGTCAGCGGTGGTGGTGGTGGCACACACCTATAATCCCAGCAGCTCGTGAGGCTGAGACAGGAGGATTGCGAGTTCAAAATCAGCCTCAGCAATGGCGAGGCATTAAGCAACTCAGTGAGACTCTGTCTCTAAATAAAATACAAAATAGGGCTGGGGATATGGCTCTGTGGCTGAGTGCCCCTGAGTTCAATTCCTAGTACATCCCCAAAAAAGAAAAAAAAAATGGGCAAGGTAGAGAAGACTACATATAGTGTGGTATCATTTCATGATTAGTAGCAAGAAAAACTACATTTTAAAATGATAAATTGAAATATAGTTTAATAGTTCTCGAAACACTGGCCACAGCAATTAGACAGACGAAAGAAATTAAAGGCATAAAAATAGGAAAAGAAGAACTTAAATTATCACTATTTGCAGATGATATGATTCTATACCTAGCAGACCCAAAAGGCTCTACAAAGAAACTATTAGAGCTAATAAATGAATTCAGCAAAGTGGCAGGATATAAAATCAACACGCATAAATCAAAGGCATTCCTGTATATCAGCGACAAATCCTCTGAAATGGAAATGAGGACAACCACTCCATTCACAATATCTTCAAAAAAAATAAAATACTTGGGAATCAACCTAACAAAAGAGGTGAAAGACTTATACAATGAAAACTACAGAACCCTAAAGAGAGAAATAGAAGAAGATCTTAGAAGATGGAAAAATATACCCTGTCCATGGATAGGCAGAACTAACATCATCAAAATGGCGATATTACCAAAAGTTCTCTGTAGGTTTAATGCAATGCCAATCAAAATCCCAAAGGCATTTCTTGTAGAAATAGAGAAAGCAATCATGAAATTCATATGGAAAAATAAAAGACCTAGAATAGCAAAAACAATGCTAAGCAGGAAGTGTGAATCAGGCGGTATAGCGATACCAGACTTCAAACTATACTACAGAGCAATAGTAACAAAAACAGCATGGTACTGGTACCAAAACAGGCGGGTGGACCAATGGTACAGAATAGAGGACACAGAAACCAATCCACAAAACTACAACTATCTTATATTTGATAAAGGGGCTAAAAGCATGCAATGGAGGAAGGATAGCATCTTCAACAAACGGTGCTGGGAAAACTGGAAATCCATATGCAACAAAATGAAACTGAATCCCTTTCTCTCGCCATGCACAAAAGTGAATTCAAAATGGATCAAGGAGCTTGATATCAAATCAGAGACACGCCGTCTGATAGAAGAAAAAGTTGGCTACGATCTACATACTGTGGGGTCGGGCTCCAAATTCCTCAATAGGACACCCATAGCACAAAAGTTAATAACTAGAATCAACAAATGGGACTTACTCAAACTAAAAAGTTTTTTCTCAGCAAAAGATACAATAAGAGAGGTAAATAGAGAGCCTACATCCTGGGAACAAATCTTTACTCCTCACACTTCAGATAGAGCCCTAATATCCAGAGTATACAAAGAACTCCAAAAATTAGACAATAAGATAACAAACAACCCAATCAACAAATGGGCCAAGGACCTGAACAGACACTTCTCAGAGGAGGACATACAATCAATCAACAAGTACATGAAAAAATGCTCACCATCTCTAGCAGTCAGAGAAATGCAAATCAAAACCACCCTAAGATACCATCTCACTCCAGTAAGATTGGCAGCCATTATGAAGTCAAACAACAACAAGTGCTGGCGAGGATGTGGGGAAAAGGGTACACTTGTACATTGCTGGTGGGACTGCAAATTGGTGCAGCCAATTTGGAAAGCAATATGGAGATTTCTTGGAAAGCTGGGAATGGAGCCACCATTTGACCCAGCTATTCCCCTTCTTGGTCTATTCCCTAAAGACCTAAAAAGAGCATGCTACAGGGACACTGCTACTTCGATGTTCATAGCAGCTCAATTCACAATAGCAAGACTGTGGAACCAACCCAGATGCCCTTCAATAGACGAATGGATTAAAAAAATGTGGCATTTATACACAATGGAGTATTACTCTGCATTAAAAAATGACAAAATCATAGAATTTGCAGGGAAATGGATGGCACTAGAGCAGATTATGCTAAGTGAAGCTAGCCAATCCCTAAAAAACAAATGCCAAATGTCTTCTTTGATATAAGGAGAGTAACTAAGAACAGAGTAGGGACGAAGAGCATGAGAAGAAGATTAACATTAAACAGAGATGAGAGGTGGGAGGGAAAGGGAGAGAAAAGGGAAATTGCATGGAAATGGAAGGAGACCCTCAGGGTTATACAAAAGAACATACAAACTTGAATCAAAGTGTGGAATATGATATGTCAAGAAATTTGTAATGTTTTGAACAACCCACAATAAAAAATTAAAAAAAAAAAGAACATACAAGAGGAAATGAGGGGAAAGGGAAAAATAATACAAGGGGGAGAAATGAAGGTCAGTAGAGGGGGTAGAGAGAGAAGAGGGGTGGGGAGGGGAGGGGAGGGGGGATAGTAGAGGATAGGAAAGGTAGCAGAACATGACAGTCACTAGTATGGCAATATGTAAATCAATGGATGTGTAATTGATGTGATTCTGCAATCTGTATATGGGCTAAAAATGGGAGTTCATAACCCACTTGAAGCAAAGTGTGAAAGATGATATATCAAGAACTATGTAATGTTTTGAACAATCAACAATAAAAAAAAAGAAATATAGTTTAAAAATTTAAAAAAAAAAACCCTAAAAAGTAGTTTAAGGAGGGAGGATTAGAATTGTTTTTCACTGAAAGCCCCAAGAGTGGAATCATGAGCTATGTAGTAGCTTCTTGGGTTTGTCAAGACTAAATCAGACCAGACCCACAACCTGGCTTCCTGGGGTTATCATTATATGTAAGGAGCCTGCAGGGCAGATGTTCCCAGAGCTCTGGGTCCTGAAGTCCATTGCAGATTTCAATAAAATAAGCCCTCAGATGAGCTAAGAGCTGACCAAAAGGCAGGGGCTGAACCCCAGCCAGTCTCGAGGGAAATGCCCTGATCAGGTGACTGAGGGTCCTGGCTACTATGACTCCAGTGCACCCTGCCTCCCACTTCCTGCTTCCCATCTTCAGTAAGAATGCCAGGTGCATTATAACAAAATTGCAGTAAACACTGAATTAGAACTTCTCATAGATGCTAAGGAGGTAGACAAATCACTTCCAAAGAATTTGAGAGTTACAAACCAGACAGCAAACAAGATTCAATTTGGAAAACCACATACCAACACCCAATCAGAGAAATACTCAGCAATACCTATGAAAGAAAATGGTTTTAAAAATCATGACTTTAAAGACTAGATTGCCCATCTGTTCTGGTATTATTCATTCAGGAAAAAAGTTATTGATCATTCATGCCAATCACCTAACGTAAGCAGGGACTGAGAAGTGCCAGGCTTGGTGATTTAACTTGATTGTGGAGAGTTATTGGAGAAAATTTTCAGTAGGGAGTGACATGATTTGCTTTGCATTTTTGAGAGCACTCTTGGGCAAAAGTGGATCAATCTAAATGACTCTACTAATAATAAAAAATGGTTTTGTGTTGAGTTTTGATTATTTTGCCATACGAAATAGAATACTGACATTTTGTCCAGGAAGAGACATGACATGAGGGCCCAGGAGCAAATGAACAGCAGGTGGACAGTTAGCAGCACCCTGCACTGGAGATCAGAGGGCAAGAGGAAGGGTTGGATCCCTGGGCCATCTTATTCTTAGCCAGAGGCCACTTGCCTTCTGGTGACACTGTTAGAGCTGCAACCTGATTCCTTGATGAAGGAGTCATAGTCCTGCTCTGAAAGGACTCTCAATGCCACAATAGCAGCCATGGGACCAGTTGGAAATATGGGTGAGAAAGGAATCTGCATGGGCACAGGGGACTGAAGCCTTGTCCAGCAGTGTTGATGGTCTACTCAGTCATGTGACCTTTTCATTTACATGAGGCCAAAAACATCATTGTTATCATCATCATCATCATCATCATCATCATCATCATTATTTTGGTACTAGAAATCTAACCCTAGGTACTTTACCACTGAGCTACATCCCCAGGCCTTTTTATTTTTTATTTTGAGACAGGGTCGCGTTATGTTGCTGAGGTTCTTGCTGAGTTGCTGAGGCTGCCTCAAATTTGTAATCCTCCTGCTTCAGCCTCCTGAGTCACTGAGATTATAGGCATGCACCACTGTCCCAGGTTATTATTTAAGATTTTTTTTGTTAACCTCAAGTTGTCACAAGACAAGGTTTAGCCATGTATTACCAAATAAAGGGCTGCCTTCTAGCTGAGTTATAAAGGTGAACAGAAAGTAATTTTTATGGAACTACAAAACTGGAAGAAATAACAAGGTGGTAATAACAATGGCACAATTGGCTGAAGGTTTACTATGTGCCAAGCAGCACTATGCTAAACATTTTGCATATATTACGTCATTTAATACTCCTAACCAAAGTATGAGATAGTACTATCAACATGCTCATTTTCCACCAGGGGAGACCAAGGCCAAGAGGTATGAGGTTCTTTGCCCAATGTCACACATTCCTAAGTGGCAGGACCAGGCCTAACTGATCTCAAAGCCCATGGCCTCCTCACTCTACTGTATCTCTAGCGAGAGGCAATGCTATCTAGACTTCATCAGGACTCACAAGGACGGAACCCGATGGGTGACAATGAGTTGAAGGAAATCATGGAGGGATGGCTCTGTGCTTTGTTGGAATTAAGAGCAAGACCCTCCCGTATCTAGTGCGTTGGGAAGGCAGATTCCCTGGAGTCCTGCACAGGATTCCATGTCCAAAGATCTCTCAGTGATTTTGACTACTGAAGAAAGGAAAACGCTAAAAAATGAAGTACAGCCAATAAAATTGCAAACTATTCTATTGATAAAGGAAAATTAATTTGAGCGATTCAATTCAACTTGGGTTTGTTCAGTACAGTGTCAATGGAAGTCGGTGAGCAGTACAGGGCACTTTCTAATGCACCAGATTTTAGAAGGATGCATAAGATTGAAAAAGGGACTGTGTAATCCAGGATAAAAAGTCTGGCTAGAACTCGTGGGTATAATGCCGCAAAGAGGCTGAATGTGAAAAATAACAACAAAAAGTACTCTAAAGATGGTAAAATAGTCCTTTAAAGCTGTTTCTTTTGGATTGAGCACAAGGAAAAGTATAGGCTCAGGATTGTGGCAGATGGTATCATGTTAGACGATGAGAAAAGGCAGAATTTTCACTTCTCAGCTTTTCTGTTTTCTCTGTCAAAGAAAATGGTTCTTAATCTAGAAACATTAAACAAATATCTAGAAGAAGGAATTGAATTTGGATAGATGATGAAACCGGAGACCTCTGAATTTGGGTCCCCAAGCCCAGGTAAATGATGGTTCATGTAGACAAGTGTCTAGATGTAGTATTGTCCAATTAGAATTTTCTGGATAAACCAAATTTAGCTCCTGCTATGGAAATAAATTACAGATGTAGCCTAAGATTTTCAAACTTATAGAGAATCCCAAAACCAAAAGACTAGAGATAAGTACATTTTCTACTTTTCATGTCAAAAAAAAAATGAACTCTGTTCCTTATCAAAATTCTAGAAAAGATTATTAAAGAAATTTGTGAGGCTTTAGAAAAAAATTAGAGATTATTTGGAACCATGGTAATTTACAGAGAAGCTATGAGAAGCAAATGTCATTTCATTTTCTATGTAGAATTTTTTAAAAAATGAAGGTATTCCCAATAAATAAATAAATAAATAAAATGAAGGTCCATCAACAACGAAAATACACACACACACACACACACACATTTAAAAGATATATCCTACAAAATTAGAAGGAAAATTATGTGGGCTATCCTCAAATGACAAAATAATAATCCAGAGGTACCAGCTATGAAACAAAGCCAACTTCAGTGAATTGTGAGACCTGTGTTCAAATAACTGAAGGTCTTTCATGTAAAATATGTAGTTTTGTGTCTGTATAGTTCTCCAAATGGAAAAACTGGGATCAGTAACTAGGAGCCAACCCATTAAAGGCCAGTAGAAGGAAGCTTTCAGCACTTACCTACATAGTCATGCAGTGAGCTCCCTGGATAGCCTGCAACTCCCTCGTCATATGGAGAACCATAGTAGACAATGAAGTGATCACCTTCCAGGAAGTGGGTAGAAGGAAATAGATATTACTTCCTTGGCTGGACCACCTGAACCTGAGGGTTCTTTTACTATGTGCATTTTATGATTGAATAATTTCTGTTGCCATTTATTGAGCTTATTGTACATGCCAGAACTGGGTCAAGGGCTTTGTGTGCATAATCCTGCTGCTGCTTCACAAACTGAGACTCAGGGAGGCTATAATAATTACTCAAGTCCACACAGTGGTAGGTAGGAGAATAAAAGTTTGACCCCACATCTGAGTCTAAAAGTAAATGCTCTTACTTTTAGGTTATATATGATCTCTGCTTTGTGCACTTCATTCTTTGATTGACACTACCCTTGAATGCCCTGTTCACCATCTTCTTCTTTATCTGGTAAATTTTTACTCATTTAGACTGAGCCTACTGGCTATGTCCTCTCTGAAGCCTTCTCTCACTTCTTCCATACAAGATACCACTTCCCCCTATGTTCCCATAGCAAGGAGCAGGTGACATTGACTTGGATATGTAGTGTTAGTTTTCTCCGTGAACTGAAAGCTCTCCATTTTCCAAAGATCTGGATCCAATATTTATTCATTCTTATCTCCAAGTACCACAAATAATGCCCAGGAGATATTGGTATTCACTATGTGTCGAATTTTGTTCATTCACTCAAGATACCTTAGAAAGAATAACATCATATTTCCGTCCCTCCTCTCTTTCTCCCCTTTAATCCTTCCTGGATAAAGCTCCACACAACATTCTTTTACTCCACCACCTTCAGTGTCCCTTGGTGTACTACAGACCACCATAAAACTGTCTTACCCTCCCCGATCCACATCTTCTCCATCTTCTTTCTTTTCCCCCTTGTCTTTCCCCACGCTGTTCCCTCTTCTTGAAAATGCTGTCTTCTATCCTCATTATTTCCTCCCCAAAGTAATGCCAGTTGAGACCCCAGCTCATCCCCTGACTAGGATGGCCCTGCCTATATGTTCAGAATGCCTTTTATTGCTTTGTTGTGACTGTTTCCTAGTATTCTACTTTATTCTAGTTCTTTGAGGTCATCTGGTCCAAAAGATTATCTAACAAGTGTTTTTTGGTAGGCATTATGCCTTAGTGGCTCCAAACTTCTTGTGACACGTAGCATATCACTGAATCCCCAGTCCTCAAGACAGAACCTGACATATAGAAGATACCTGACAAACAGGTGTAGATGGATGGATGGGTGGGTGGATGGATGGATGGATGGATGGACAGACCAGAAATCAAGTTTTGCATCCTAGTTCCAGTTTGTCCATAAAATGAATAATTTGAGGCTTCGAGTATCGCATATAAATCTCTTGGGGCCCCAGTGTCCTTATCAGTAAGAAAGTGGTCAAAAAGACAAGGAGAAAAGGGAACCATTTTTCATGAATTGCTTGCTGTGGACAGGGCAGTGTGCTAGGGGCACATGACTTCGGGGGAAGGAGACAGGGACATACATAGCAGTGAAAAGCCTGGGCTTAGGTTAAGATTCATTTATGTACAAGACCTAGCTCTGTCACCTACTGACTATGAACTTGGGCAGCTTGCCTTAGTCTTCTGAATCTCTGTTTCTTTGGCTATCCAAATGGTGATGCTGAGAGTCTCCACTGCTGAGTTCATCAGGAGGGTTGAATGAGATGCTGCCAGTAAGGTGGCCATTCTCGGTACAGGATAAATAGCAGCTCATTATTATTAAACTACACATGCATCTTATTATTCCAGTTTAGCTAAGGGAGAAGCAGAGGCTCCAAGATGTGGAACAACACGCTCAAACCCTCCATCTGCATTGTTTTCCCCTCAGCCAATGGGACCCTCCATTATAAATCCTAGAATAGCCATGAGTTTTGCCATACAGTGTGTGTCCTCATTTCAGGGAGCAAGATTGAAAAGCTACTTGTCAACCCTGGTCAGCTTCTAACACTGCAATATCTCAACATTTAGTATCCAACATTGAGAGTCTAAGAAGCAATGCTGACCTAATTATTCTTCTGTTGAAGGAAGGTCATAGGTCATAGTTTAAGTGGTCAGAATGTATGGATCTAATTTTCTCCATATAAGAATCAAAATTAGGGCTGGGGATGTGGCTCAAGTGGTAGCGCGCTCACCTGGCATGCGTGCGGCCCAGGTTCGATCCTCAGCACCACATACCAACAAAGATGTTGTGTCCGCCGAAAATTAAAATAAATATTAAAATTTAAAAAAAAAAAAAAAAAAAAAAAAAAAAGAATCAAAATTAATATTTTTTCATCATTAGCTTTTCTTTGGACAAAAAAAAATCAAAATGCCAATCACCATTTCAACAATTAAACGTGATGTGAGTTTCCCTGCCTCGTGAAGGGAGCCACACACCACCTGGGCACTCAGAAGGCAGTTGATTTGGGGGAAGAAGAGAAGAGCAGACAGCAACCGGCACTAGGGGTCTCTAGTGGAGGTGTGATGTACACACATACATCAGTTTTAGGGAGGACGGGAGAGTAGGCAGGAGAAGTGTCCTTTGTGGTAAGACCTTATCAAGGACATGACCTTGGAAGCTAAAGTGGTCATGCCCTAATGTTCAGGGGACCTCCCCCCAGAGCCTGCACAAGTGGGTTTTATTTGTTATGCCCATGACCTCGAGGCATCAACAGGGTGCCAGGGAGCTTGCTACCTGCAGAGCCCTTCTTACTACAAACATGGCCCGCTAAAGTGGCTCCAAAGCAGTTTGCTCATGGGGAGAGAAACGCCAATCTAACCCATTTGCCATTGATTTCTTAAGCAGATTCAGGGACACAGGATGAAGCACAGCTTTTGCAGGAATGGTTTAAGCTGGTTCTGGAGAAGAATAAATTAATGCGATATGAGTCGGAGCTGCTGATCATGTAAGTAAGGCAACATTGATAACAGCGAGTCCGAAAAGCAGAGGGCTGGGGGGTGGCTCACTCTCCTTAGTGGAAGTCCCGGGATTTTTTCTCTTTGTGCATAAAGAGTAGTGATTGAGGCAAATTGATATTTTATGTCTTGCATATCATGCTGGCATTAGTGTAAAGAATCTTCCGTTGTCTGTTCTTCCTGTGGCGTCCTATGACTGAAATAGATTTCTTCCTCCAGTAAGGAGCTGGAGGTCATTCACTCCAGCCCTGTCCCCCACACCTAAGTTAAAAGAGCTGTCACACACCTGTGCTGGAGCACCACAAGTGGCATAGGAGCTTTCATCTGTGCCATCTGGTTTCATTTTTACCTCTACGCTGAGAGGTCACTAGGGGGACTTCTTGGGGGGCCTAATAAGCACTACCACTCTTCCCTGCCTGCGTTCTGAACCAGGTGAGAAATAAACAATAGAGTCAATGGATGGAACATCAAAATATCACCTTCTATCAATGGCTAGTGTGGCTAAGCACGAGAGCCCAGATGAGTTTGTAACTTTATTAGGGCCACAGTAGTAAATTCTCACAAAGCAGAGGGCTGACAACAATAGAAACTAATTCTCTCACCGTTCTGGAAGCCACAAGTCCAAATGGAGGCATTGATGGGGCCATGTTCCCTCCAAAGCCTCTAGGAGAGAACTCTTCCTTGCCTTTCTCACCTCTTGCAGCTCCAGGCATTCCTAGCCTGTGGCTGCACCTCCACACTATCTGTTTCTGTCTTCACAAGGCCTTCTTGGTGTGTCTGGGTCTTCTCTTCTGCCTCTTAAAGGGAGAATTGTCCTTAGGTTTGGGACTCACTGGGATAATCCAGAGGGTCCTCATTTTAAGTACATCTGCAAAGACCGTGTGTCAAACAAGGGCACATTCAGAGCTTTCAGGGTTCAGGATATGAATACATCTTTGGGGGGGGGGTCCCCCATTCAACCCATTATACTAACCAAACTCCAGCATTAGACATATCTATCTACCTGATCACAAAAGTCAGTGGACTTGTTTACTCCTTAGGGGGAAGGCTTTTATCCTTGACCCTGGGATCTCAACCAGGGGTGATTTATCTCCAAAGACAATGTCTGGAGACATTTTTGGTTGTCACTGCTGGAGGTTGTTACTGATACCGTGTGAGTAGAAGACAAGGATGCTAAACACCCTACAAGGCACAAGACAGCCCGTCCCCCTACCAACAAAGAATTATCCATCCTACAATGTCAATAGTGTCAAGGTTGAGAAAGTTGCAAGGCTCAGAGAAACTGAGAACACATGTTTGCTGAACAGGCTGAGCTTAAAAGAGAACTGAGAACCCTCAACTCTTCTTTCTCTATAGTCTCTAGGGATCATATGACTTCAACTAGGATCTGTTAGCATTGCCACATCTGTCTGGGTCCTCAATTCTCCTGAGAGCTCTAGAGCAGCAGCAGCCTCTCTCATATGTGGGGACCTTCACAACCACTCTGCTATCAGTAGGGTGATCCCAGGCACTGAAAAATCCCAACTGGCTTCACCAAGACACTGTCAGCTGCTGGGTTTTGCTGTTGTTGCAGTGGAGAGACTGAGTTCCCAGCACTCTAGCATGGCCACTCCAAAGCCTCACTGACTCTTCTTTAGATGCCTAAGTTTGATCTCCTCCACCTGGACCCAATATCTCACTGCTTACTTCTTTTGGTTTTCTTGTTGACCACAGTCAGAGACTTGAAAGTTGTTGGAGGTGATTCTTGAAAACATATTACACCTAAAGAAGACAAAGAGTTCCCAATAGTCACCGCTCCTCCCCTGGACTCTTCTAGGCACCGTTTCACTGTTCTGTCTCCTGTCCTTCCTACAGGGTAGACTGATGGCCTTCCAAGAGCATCCTGAGAATCTATCACAGCTTTCAGCTACTCCCTGTGTCTCTTGGGTCCAGCATATCTCTAAACCCTTCTGAACACCTCTGGTGATCCTAGCAGCAGCCAGAATTCCAATTTAGAGATATTCAGAGACCCCCATTTTAATAAGGTTAATTGCAGTAGCTGTTGTCAATGAGTGTTTTAGTCAGTTTTTATACACAAATTCCCTGTCTTTACTACCTGAACATTTTTTTCATACCTACCCAGGGCCCAAGAACTGGAATTAGAAGATCACCAAAGCAGACTGGAGCAGAAACTAAGAGAGAAAATGTTCAAGGAGGGTGAGTATGGTGATATGTTTTGGGCCCTTATTAAAGACATTTTGTCCCTTGAAGGACATCAAGTACACCAAGAACACTGCAATCCCCAGAGTAGAGTGCTCTCCCTGTCCTGCATGACCATGCAGCCTGAGAGGCAGAGGAGAGTGCAAAACCAGCCCCACCTTGTGTCCACCCCACACCCCCCAGAGCAAATCCCCATTGGGCTTCATCCAGCTAGGCTGAGAAGGAGGCATTTCCCCATGCCACATGCCTATAGGAACAAAGTCATTCATTCACCTCTTTGTTCACATGTCCACCCACCCACTTAGCAAACATGTACTGAGAACCTCGTGTGGACCTGGCACATGGTGAGAGCAACTCCCATACTCTAGGAGTTTGTGAGCTCACTGGGGAGGCCAATGTCCAGACCCATTACTACTGTGCAGGATAATGCAGAAGGAGCCACAGCAGGTGCTTTGGGAGCACAGAGGAAGGTGGGACTTGTCCTGCCAGGGCCTAGAAATGGTAAAGGAAACAATCCCTCAGCATGGGCCAGGCTAAGGCATTGCCCGTGAGGAAACCATTCTACCCTGAAGGAGGGGGAGTTGAAATAAACTCAATTGACATGATACACAGCAAAAAAAAAAAAAAATGTATATACTATCTTTTTTTGTCACAAGAGCTCAGATATGTCCAAGACAAGCTTCAGCTGAGAGGAATTATTTTATTTTTCTATGTTGTTTCTTAAAAAAGGAATATCAACACATGAAATACTAAGTTAACATGCCAGAGTGAATCTGATTTATACATCTGCTAAAATTTTTTGATTTTTCTGTTTCAGGCTAGTAAAACAAATACTGCCAAAGCCTCATTAGCCACCTTTGATGCCTTTTTATTTATCTTACTAAGAAATGAAGGTCAGAGGGGGCTGGGGTTGTGGCTCAGTGGCAGAGCGCTCGCCTAGCATGTGTGAGGTGCTGGGTTCGATCCTCAGCACCACATAAAAATAAATAAAATAAAGGCATTGTGTCCAACTATAACTAAAAAAAAAATTTAAAAAAGAAAAGAAATGAAGGTCATAATCCCCACGACTCAGGAGGAGAAGCAAGAGGATGGCAAATCTGAGACAGCCTCAGTAACTTAGTGAGACCCTCTCTCAAAATGAAACATTTTAAAAAAGAAGTGAAAGTCAGGCATTTTCTCACTCCTCTGATATTTACTTATACCCCCCAAAAAGTAGACTCTTGATTTTGTCCATAGCTGACTCATTTTCCACAAAAGAAATGAAATGAGAGCTCTTATCCCTCTCTGATAAACTAGGTCTGATGGAGTCTTTAAACGATCCTTGTAGAAAATGCTCAGTCTCTCTGGGATGAAATGCTAAGTCTTCCGATGGCTTCCCCTTCCTCCTGGGTTTCTCCGCAGGGTCAGTGCTGTCATTAAGGGAGAGGCAGCTTTGTGCCCTGGTGTCATAAGCATCTGTGTGGGGTGCTCTAAGTCCTCACAGAGCTGTGTCCTGTCATCAGGTGCCGCTCTCCTGCTGGCACTTGCAGTTAAGCTGTAGGGCTGTTGTCACCCGCAGCCTGGCCATTCTCTGGGTATGCTCTGGAATTTGGGGGAATTCCCTGGCTCACTGGGCCTCACCTGGGCATATCCTCCATCCAGGGTGGTCAGACAGCCTCCCATAGTCTCTTTGTCAAGTCACTTTTCTCTCTGCTGGGGGAACCTGTGGCAGACCCACTGGCCGGCTATCTTGGGCCACTTTAGGGTACGCAGTTGCTTCTCTGCTCCACCACTCTGCTTACACCACACATAGCAGATAGAGATCTGGGAGCCACACTCAGACACTTCCTGTGCCCTGTGTTTATCCACAGCGGCACCTTCTGAGCAGAGTGGACCGAGGGGCAGGACAAGAGTCCTTCCACCCCAGTGTTCCAGCAAAAGACATTCTCTGCCCCCCGTGGGGCTTCCAGGTCCCAGAATGGAGAGATGGGGACACAGAGCTCTCACCTTCCGCCTTTTCTGTCTCTTCTCCTTCCCTTAGAACATGAGGCACAAGGGAATAGTACTTCTCTACTTCCCTCTCATTGCATCTGCCTGCTCCCTGACCCAGCACTAAGCCCCACGAGAGACAGTGGCACTTTCTCCACCTGAGATGGGACTCCTCCTCGTCCTAAATGCATAAGTGGGAAGGGCTGAAGGAATTTAGAAAGGCTTCTCCTGTGGCAATAATCTAGTTGGCAAGTTTTAAATCTGGCTTTAAAATCCTCTGTTGAGTGTCAGAAAGTCATTACCACCTGCTTCTTAACTTGCTCTCTTCTCTAACAATCCTGTCTCCCCTGGGGATTGGATGCTTCGTGCCAATTAGGGACAAGGTTGTCACTCGGAAAGGCTGCAGGAGAAAGCAGAGTCCATCTGGAAACCTGATCCTAGGACAGTCAGGACAGTCAAATCTTACTTGGCTTCTGTGTGGTGTCTGCTCAAAAGGCTGCAACTTGTCATAAAGTGCAAAGGACAAAAGGATTGTCATCTCTGAAAGAAACAGCAGACACTGACACACACTGTTCATGAAGAGACTTCTCTCACAGATTTCCTTGCTGTGGCTCAGATATGTTTATGAAAAACAGACCTGTCATTGTTTTGTTGGTTTCTTTTTTAGGCAGGAGAGGAAGTTTGGGGACTTGATGGGGCAAGGCACATTAACTGCTTTTTTTTCACAAAGGGTATTTCCCTGGGCCACGAATATACCCTCAAGATGAAATCTGAGCTGGCTACCTTGCACAAAGCACCAGTCTTTCTAATCTGTGGCTTTAAGGGCAGTTTTTTGGTATTAAATTTGTTTCCTTGTTTTCTCCATTATTGAAATGAAAGGGCAGAACAAGTCTATAACAATCGAGAATGTTCATGCCAAGAGCTCTCCAGAGTCCAATCTTACCTGAGGCCCGACTGTTTTCTTTTTTTCTGTAGAGAGCCAGAAAGATGAGAATGATCGCAATGAGGAACAAAAAATACTCACCGAGATGATGCAAGTGATTGAGCAAAGGGACAAACTCGTGGACTCCTTAGAGGAACAGCGTGTCAAAGAGAAGGCGGAAGACCAGCACTTTGAAAGCTTCATCTCCTCCAGGGGCTGTCAGCTGAGCAGGACGTGAGGCACCAAACCTCTCTCCCTAAAGCCAGCCCAGACCACCACACTTTCTCATCCTGGATTCAAAGTTAAAAGTCTACTACATTTTTTTTTCTTTTAATTAAAATTCTCTCATATGAACTACAGCTTCCCAAGGCTTTTCCAGAGACGATAATGGAAAACAAAACAAAACAGACTTTTGAAACTGGCAGTCAGCGTCAGCCAGGCTCTGACTGGAGGTATTCTTGGCAGATGACCAGTATTGTTTTCCCTAAAAAGTGACACAAAGACCTGAGTTTCTAGCTGCTTTTATCATTTTTCTCCCAATTCATTGAGTTACATGTTGTAAGACTTTTAAGAAGCTGCCCTTCATTAATACGTCCATATTTGCCCTTTTTTGCATGGATGACTGGTTTCCAAATGTCAGAAAGAAGCAGCAGCAGTTTAAAGATTAGGTTAATATTTAAATTGTGTTTCCAGAGAAGGAGAAGAAACCTTGAGATTACTGATTACAAAAAGCAAATAACTCATATAGCAGGTATTAATTCAATCCAGGGCGAATTTAATTTACCAGGTATATTTATAAGCCTTAATATAATATACATAAGCAATGAGAGTTTAATAGAACATTTGAGCTTTAATTTTATTTTTTATAAAAGGAAATAGAACTTTAACTTCATGCCAGCAAGATGGTCAGTTTTCACCAAATCCTGTTGGCTTAGAAAAGCTTTTCATTCCCCCAGTCCTCTCTGCTCATGGCCCCTGGGACATAATGATAAGCACTTTTAGGAAATGGGTGATTTTTGAAGTGCCTTTTAAATAAGGGTTGGTAATGGCAAACAGGAGAACCCGTTTGCTGATAAAACATTGGTGAAGTTGGTACTGCTACTAAATATACACTAGTAGTGGTAGCAGGATAGGCATGCTTCTCAATGGGGGCTGTCTTGGGCCCAAACAGTAGAGTGTTTTTGATTCTCTCAGGGATTGCCCAAGAGCTCTTCCAGATACTTCCAGGTAGAACTGAGGGCAGTGACTTCATTTATCCAATCCCAAATTGGGTCATGGATTTTTAAATATATATATATTTTAAAAAATATATATTTATATATATATAAAACATTTTCAAAAAGCTGGTAGGTGGTTTATGCACCACCATGCTGGAATTCCTGGGGCATTTTGACAGTACATATGGGAACCAAAGAAGGGGAGGCTTAAAATGGTAATGTGTCATGAAATATTTGGTTGTTTTCCCTCAGTGGAACTCTTTAAAGATTTAGACTGCTATTGACAAGACAGAGACTGAGAAACTGTTATATTTCTAGCCACTGGCTTCTGGAGTGTTTAAGGTGTCATTAGACGCAAGGTGCTTTGCAATAGTTGGCTCTGTCTCGAGACCAGATTCTTCTCAACATAAGCTGACCCTCGAACCACTTCTGTCTGAGTTGCTGTCTGTGCACACCAATCTGGCCAGCTGACAACCATAAATGAAATGTGTGCAGACTTCCTGAGTCAGCCAACATTTTGGGTGGTATTTAAATGCAATTTTTCCATGGTATACCAAATTCCAAATGCTGTAGTTCTTTCTTCTTCTTTCCTTCCTTTCTTTTTCTATTTTTTCTTTTCTTTCTTTCTTTTTTTTTTTAAGAATCAGGTCTTCTAGTGTCTTGAATTCTATTATTAGGAAATATGTGGAGTTATCTTTCTATATACTATTCCTATCAAAACTGTATTACTTCTGGCTATTTATCTATTGTATTTATTTATATATTTAGTTAAAACATAATATAATTTCCTCATAATTATGGTTTTCTTGTGTTATAATTTGGAGAAGACCTATTAGTACTAAGCTATTAGTATATAAGCTACTTAATATACAAATAACCCAGATATTTGGGGCAATGAGTTGTATAGTATTAAAGGCATGAGGAGATCATCAAAATAATATTTTCAGCCATTAGGCATTTAGAGATAAGAATATGGATGCACAGGAATGTTTACTCATTTTAAGAAAAATGTCTACTTTCTGTTTTCATTCTAGAATGTGCAGAAATACTCAAGTAACATCTTTTCTGTCAGTTAGATAAAAATGTACAATTTGATGCCTGCATACATGTAACAGAGAGCACCCAAATGTGTTGTTATACAAAAGAATTAAGTATTTTAATTTGCTATAGTTCCATCTTAAAGCAAGATTCTCCCAAGAGAGCTAGCAAAGGTGGTTCCTGGTCCAATCATGGAAACAGCAAGTTGTTCACTTTTTTCCACAGACTCCCACGTTCTGTGGTTTATGGCTTAATCTTATCCGGCCCAGTTTAAGACACAAAACTCATAGCAAACAGTTTTCTACTTAGGCTGCCTCTCTCCATTCCAATTCCATTTCCAAAAGGACACAACTATTGTGGCTGTTGAACTACTTAAAGTAATTCCATTCCTTACTCACAAAAGAGAATGTTCTAAGACCCTAAAAATGTAAAGTGTTGTACATTGTGAAGGCAGTGTCTTTAATGTAACATGAGCAGGGTCATTTTGAAAATGCACAGAACTCACTGCCCTATAAAAGAGCACTGGTGGAGATGTCAGGGCTGAACAGTCAAGCCCCAGCCTTAGGATATATTTCACAGTCAATCTCCCACAGCTTCTAAATTAAGCCAAAGACTCTACAATAGTTACAAGCTCAGAATTTTATGTAAGTTGGATCAAGAAGACAGTTTTTAGTTATACTCTTCCAAAACACTCATTTATTTATTTTTAATTTTTAAAAATTCTTTGTGGTGCTAGGAATCAAACCCAAGGCCAGACACATACTAGCCTAGTGCTCTATGACTGAGCTACACCTCGGACTCCCAAACCATTCATTTATTGACCAACTTATTTAACATTCTCTGAATGAATGCCCATGGGGTTCTGCAGCCCTGTGCTAAATGCAAAGATACAAAAAAAATATTAATCCCCCTCTCTACCTCCAAATAAATACAAAGATCAGGAAATATCTACCACCCCCAAATACAAAGAACTATTTTTTTTTATAAGCACCAATCTGTCTACACATATGTATCTCAAAAAAAAAAAAAAAAAAAAGGGTTTACATCCACCACTATTGTAGTGCTTCTTTGGCAATAAAAATAAGCTTGTGTTTCTAAAACTGTGAAAAATAATATCAGGTTGTACTGTTTCATTTAAACCTTGACTTGGGCAGTGTTAGGCTGCTTGGAATCAATCAATGCCGAGATGCAGCACGTTAATTGCAACTGAGACAGGAAGTGGCAGGTGTTTCCAACTCTGATGAGCTACAATGAAATTGATGTTTTCTGCATTCTGGAGGCAAATGACAATTCAGCAATGTCTCTCTCTTCCCAGGAAGCAGATTTACAGGCTTTTCCTTCCAAACTGAAAATGGCAGCATGCCCCACCCAGGTGGTTGTTCAGAGAACGACCTTCGCAGGGCAGAGATGGCAGGGGGCAGCTGGGGCCGCCACATGAACAGAGAAAGTGGCCGTCCCTGGATGTGGAGAGCTCAAATGGAGGGGCTGATTGTCAACAGTAGGTTCACGTACAGGGGAAAGTGTACAATTTCACCTACTGTTTATCTTCTTACCTCACTGCTGAGTGGCTTGTAGAAGATTAATTTGCTCCAACAATCGGGAACTATTCATGTGGATGGAAATGTGTTATATGTGCGCTGCTTTAAATACTGAAGTGAACAAAAAATAAATGATTTTTGTGTCTCAGGAATCAAAACATGTTCATGTAGCCTGGGTCTGGCCCCTCTGCGGGCAGCATCCATTTCATCTCTTTCTTTTCTTAGTGAAAGAACCTGGACAAAGCTTTGATTCCCGTGTGGGAGTCTATGAATTAATGTTGGACGTTTGATTACACTGGGCACCTGGAAGGACTTAACCTGAGTCCCTTCCCATTGGACTGGAATGGGAGGAGGAGCAAAGTGGCTCGCCTCAGGTACATTCTCTCAACAAAGAAAGCTATTCTGCAGGCTGGGGCCTGTCCTCGCTAGCCTCCCTGTCCCTCTCATCTCCTTACCTGGTAGAGCCTGGTTTTAAATTCCACTCACTCATCAGGAACATTCCCTTCTGCAGAGCTGGCCCCAACATTTAACTCCTACTCTTTCAGGACCAAGTTTGTTTGGTTTTCTTCTGTTTTTTTTTTTCTTAATCCCAGCACGTTTATAGAGGGTGGGCAGATAATGCACCAGAATCACTACATCAGTCGCTCAAGGGGTTAGTCCCCGGAGCTCCCTTGGTATTCCACACTAAGCTCCCCTCCACTGCTTGCAAGCTTTTGATTAAATATTGGATGGGATTCACTTTTCCATTGAATATCAATGGAAAATGTACACAGTTGCTCTTGTTTCGTAAACACTGACCTCTTATCACCTTTGATGTGACTTTATAAGTTTCCTTGGGGCTCATCTGCCCTCTTTCTGCTCAGGAGCTACAGAGGCTCAGATTTCTACAGCTGAAGCAGCAGCTGATCACCCCTGAGCCTGTCGGACATGCTGGGTAATTTCATGCTCATACCTTTTCTAGCTCACGTCTAGAAATGAAGAAAAGTAGGCATGAATGAGGCACTGGGGTCCGTTCCAGAAACTGGCAGTAAAGAAAGAAGGGAGGGAGGAAGGGAAGGAGGGAAGGAAGAAAAATAAAACCAGTGGCATGGCCAGGCGTGATGGCTCAAGCCTGTAATTCCAGCAACTCAAGAGGCTGAGGCGGGAGGATCGCAAGTTCAAAGCCAGCCTCAGCAACTTATCGAGGCCCTAATCAACTCAGCAAGATCCTGTCTCTAAGTAAAAATAACCCCCCCCCCCCGCCACATGGTAGAGCCTTCCTTATGTGTGTGGGGGTGTGTGTGGGTTTGGGGATATGGCTGAGTGGCTAAGCACCCCTGGGTTCAATCCCTGGTACCCCCCCCCAAAAACAAAACAAAAACCAAAAACAAAAACAGTGGCATCACGGCTCCTCCAGGAAGCCCCTGGATCTTGATCATAGCAATAGCTACAGAGAATTCAGCACTTCTCGCCTATGGGTGCTGTAATAAATTCTGTAAGTGCATTTATCCCATCTAATCCTGAAAGCAAAAATCTTTAAGATAGGCATTATCCCCATTTTTTTAGAGGATAAGACAGACACAAAGATGTCCAGGCACCTATGTAAGGTAGTCAGACTCCAAAGTGGCGACTGGAACCAGCTATCAGCCTCTGGAGCCTGAACCCTTTTGTCCACCAGGCTGCACGGTTTTGCTGTGTCCCCACCTAGACTCAATGCCTTGTGCTTACCTGCTCCTTCCTGTCACCACTTAGGTTCCCGTCACCACTCCACCCCCACCCCAGCATACTAGTGCCCAGTCTACTCAGGGTAAATATGGGAATAGAAGCCAAACCTGTCATTTCACGTGGTATTTTGTTTTACCTTCTATGCCATATTTATATACTCTTGAACATGGAAATAATAACTCAAAACATAAAGTAACTCAAAACATAAAGTTACCTAACTCTGCCAACTCTCAAAAAAAAAAATCTTTCAATAAACACCATATTCCATGGAGATACCTTTTAGGTGATCACTAGTACTCTGGGCCCAGTCATGAGCCTTGGGGATACCTCAGGCTAAAATTAAGACACAGTCCCAAGTCCCAAGGCCAAGAACATAGGGCAAAGGGTGTGAGAGAGGAAAGGAGTGAAGGGAGAGTTTGGGGCATCAGCTGAGAGTGAGGTGAGGTGGTTTTGCAGGTCTTTAGGGGAACTATGCAGAGGGGGAAGAGGAGCCTGGAGGGTCAGGGCAGGGCAGCAGTCATTGGGAAACAGCCCTCCAGATCTGCTGTGACCCTAGAGCAAATAGCCTGATACTGGGCATCTGTTCCCAAACACCAGTGGCATAAGACTTTGATTCCCTTCCCATCCCCAGAATACAGAATGAGTCCATAATAATTTGGGGAAGTAAATGTAAACAAAATAAGTGTGTAGTTTGAAAATAAATCAATAGCTCTAGGGGGAAAAAATCAACAAGTATGCTCATTCTAAACAGTAACCCTGGCTAATCATGTTAATAACCCAGGACTCTCAGTGCAGCTGGGCAATTACTCCCTGGGTGGCACTGGACATCTCAACATCTCAGTGGAGCTTCAGAGTCTTTAGCTGTGAAAGGGGGCTGGTCCTGCCCTCCTCCACAGTCCTGCCCTCTCTCAAGGGTTCCTCAAGAGAGGCAGTCTGCTGTATGTTGGCTCCAATTTTAAAATGGGAATGGCTAGAGTTGTAATTGGAATAGCTGTGGTGAGTCAACTCCCAACAGCAGAAACAGAAAATGACACTTCCAATCTCGGTGGATCAGGTCAGAATGGGCAGTTTCTACTGGAGGAGATTTAAGTGGTAAGCCAGGCCAACAGGTGCCACTTCTTCAGTGCTGTGTTCTCTATGATGTCACCCAATGCACCAATCTGCACGTGAATCTCTCTGGGGACCGTCTCTCTGAACTGGCCTCTGTTGACCAGGTGTCCAGTCTCTTGCATGCCCATTGACCAAGAGTGTTTCAAGTCTTCAAGTCTTGGTTCCACTTCATTGCTAGAGGTCATACTTGTAACTTTCTTCTCTTAAAGAAACCATCTGACGTCTGAATAGCTTTAGTATCTGCCCCAGCAAAGATGGGAGTGTAGAATCTTGCTGGTCACATAAGTCTGGAGAGGAAGGTTGATATGATAAGCCGTTAAGAAGACCTGGCTCCCAGATCACATTGACCTGGGAAGGCTCAGGGGAGAGGACAATCAAGACCTCAGGGGTGATCTCAGTGGCCAGTGGCAGGAACCACACACCAATAGAATCACTGGGGCTCAAGGGGTTCCTCTGTGCCTGGCTGGGTCTGAAGTGAGTCACACATGCATCCTTCTGTCCCTAAAATCTCAGCCAGCTGGGCAACTGCTCCCTGGGTGGCACTGTTGCTGTTCCCTGGTGTGTTCTCCATTTCTCTGCTAGATGATACTCAGGTATTGATCTGGAGGCTTTGCCTCTATGGCTGGTACTCAGCTGTCGTACTCACAGGAAGGAATCCTTCTACTGACAACTGCAGTTCATTAGGAGACTCTTAAAGGGTAGGTAAGCAGGTCATCGGTTTCAAAGTACTTGGGACGCATCCCTTCATGGCTGGATCAGAGGCTGTCTTGCATCATCCTGTGTGACCCTCAAACACATCCCCCTCCAAAAAAAAAAAAATCCCACTCTCCGTCCACTGTGCTGCCAACTAAACTAAAGTCTTCTGATTTCCTCCTGCCCCATGCCTTCCTTTCCCACCAAGAGAAGCCCTTGCTCTTCCACCCCAACCTCACCATCCAGGCTGCCTTCGCCTAGGCAAGTAGGACTCCTGTAGGGCATACTCACTGACCGCCCTTCAAAGGCCATTACTAATATTCCAGAGTCCCCAAGGGGAATGTGCTGTGAGGCTTCTCACTGAAGACCCCTCCAGTCCAGGGCCTTTCATCTCTCACACTGCTTTCATCCTGAGAGCACACCTTGCTTTCAGTGATCAAAGAGGTCCCCAGGAGGCTCCGCCAGGCTTCTCTCTCCCCTTCCTGCTTTGATGTGGTCCAACAACCTCTGATTATTGATTGGGATCTAGAGCTTTTGTAAAACCCTCATAATGTAGGGATCCCATCTTGTCCCTTAGATGGTGTGTTAGTTTCCTATGGCTGCTGTAACAAAGGACACAAACTAGGTGTCTTCAAACAGCAGAAATTAATTTTCTCACAGTTCTGGAGGCTAGAAGTCCAAAACCCAGGTGTCTACTGAGCCGTATTTCCTCAAGACTCCAGGGAAGGATCCTACCCTGCCCCTTCTAAGCATTTCCTTGGCTTTTGGCTACATAACTCCAGTGGCCATCTCCTTCCCATATGGCTTCCCGTTATCTTCCCTCTGTGCATGTCTGTGTCCAAATTTTCTGCTCCTAAGAACACCAGTCTTATTGGGTCCAGTGTTCACCATATTTCAGTATGACCTGACTTGTTATTGTTTTGAGTAATTACACCTTCAATGATACTGTTTCTGAATAAGGTTTTACTCTAAAGTACAGGAGTTAGGACTTAACTCATTCTTTTTAGGGGACACAATTTAACTCATAACAGAAGTATTCAAATTCAGAAAAGATACTTTTCCTAAAGTGAAAGCCTCTTTCAGTTTGAGTTGTACCTTAATTTGTTTTGAGAGAATTGTTTTACCTCTATCCTTAGCTTTTAACTACACAACATCAAAATCACAGTCAAATAAAAACAGAATGCCAAAGAAAAGTTGTCAGATACATGACAAATAGCAACTACATACACATTATGAAACCTGCCTAAATGGAGCAACTACATGCCAATTTTCTCTCCATTATCTTGATACTAACTGTCTTTTACTACTCCTTTAATGGTTACCCTAGAGATTGCAGCATGATTCTTGATTTATCAAAGTCCAATATTAATTGTTCTTTCATGTCTTCCCAGACAATGCCTGGACCTTAAAACACTTAATTCCATTACTCATTTATTTGAATGCTTCTGTTTTTGTATTTTAATTTGATTTATGTATTTAAAAACCAAATAAGACTGTATTTTTATTATTTCACATAGTTACTATGCTTTTAGATTTGCCCATGTGTTATCCTTTCATTTGTTTTTTACTCTTGCCTGTGTCACCAAGCTTCCACCTGCCATGATTTTCCTTCTGTCATATGCTTTAGTGTTTCCTTTTGTTTGGGTCAGCTGTTAACAATTTTTATCAGTATTTTTTTTAACTGAAAATGTCCCTAATTTTCCCTTCATCTACACTCTTTAAGAGTCCCAAAGTAAAGTGAGAGGGAGCTTCCTGGGAGCCCCTTCAGCTTGGCAGTACTTGAAGTTTTGCCTATTTGGTGAGAGTGGCAGCTGCCCTGCTCAACCTCTCTGTTTCTCTCCTTAAGTTGGTAGATGGTCCTGGGGAAACTGTCCTCATATGATGGGTTCATCTCTCCAGGGTTCCCCCTTGGCCCTGAACATTTTATTGCTTTCCAATGCTCTCAAGTTGATTTATTTTACATGTTGTTCAGTTCTTCCAGTTATTCTCAGTGGGCCAGTTGGTCTGTGTAACAGTCTGATAATTCAGAAGTTGAATATCCATTTCCCATCCATCTGCTTAGGACTATCTCTGGAAGCTGCCATGCAACACTTTTTGCTTGCATCCTATTGGTAAGAAGGTGGTCATGTGACTAAACCTAGCTGGAAAACATAGTCTTTAGTCTAATACAATAGGAGACTAGCATCTTAATTAAAATTTGTGGATTGTATGGATATTTGGGAAGGCAGATCCTAGGGGCCATAGTATTAGTATTTCAGTTACTGGCTATGTGTGGCCTCTCACAAGTTATTTAAACTCTCCAAGTTTCAGATTACTTGTCCATAAAATGGAGATGATGATAGTATCATTTATGAGTCTTAAGTGAGATACTTGTGACCAATATCTATTGAGTTCAGATTTATCTGCTAGGCATTGAGCTAAGTAATTTATTTACACTAAATCTCTTGGTCCACCCAACAACCTTATGAGGTATTCATTTTATGATTAGAAAACTGAGCTACAAAGAGGTTAAGGAACTTGCACAAGTGTATATAGATATTCAGCTGCAGAATGAACCCATATCCATTACCACCACATGATCTTGCCTTATGAGTCACAAAGCCTGGCTGTTGGAATTATTGAGGGAAGATGTCAGGACCAGGATAGGAACATTGCTTGATGGCTGAAGGCAGCAAAAGCTAGCTAGAAACATATCTCCTAAAGGAAGAACTGGTGACAGGACTGGCCTAGGTTAAGACCTGTGGACTTTTGAGTGACAGAAGTTAGAAAAGGGAATTTAATAGGGATCCTATGGGGCATATCATCCGGGGCTTCATTTTTTAATATTGTTTTGTGTGATATATTAGTAAATTTTTATTAAATTACAATATGCATGCAGAAATTTGCTCAAATTATCAAATGTGTATCCATTAATTTTAGAATTAATATATCCCTGCAACCAGTAGTCAGACCAAGGAACATGAGCTCCCATAGCCTCCCTTGTGCCCTGCACTCCATCACTATCTCAACTTCCAACGTAAATTTGTTTTGCCCATTTAAGAATTTATGAATAAAATGATAGTTTGTGTTCTTTTGTGTCAGTTTTGTTTTCACTCAACATTATATTGTAAGATACATTCTATTGCTGCAAATTATTCATTCTCATTACTGTGACTATCACCGTCATTCAGCTGTTAGTAAGTATTTGAATGGTGTTACTATGAACTTTCTAAAACACGTATCTGGGTTCATTAATAGACTCATTTTTATGTCTATAACCTAGGATTGAAATTGTTGCTCACAAGGAATGTGTGATGTTCAGATTTACATTTCGTACATGTGTTCGAATGTGTGCATGCGCTGGGAATCCAACCCACAGCAGGGCACGTGCAAGACAATTGTTCTACTGCTGGGCTACATCCCTAGGCCCCCAAAGTTCAGCTTTAGCAGTTACTGCCTTGGTTTCCTCTTACCAATGATGGAAAGAAAAGTGCAGAAAGGGAAGAGGTATATTCCAGATCTCCTAGTTATTGAACTAGGATCAGAACCTGGGATTATTCTCACCCAGTGCAATTTGTCTAGGCCTAGGCTTCAAGAAGAGGTTGGCCTTTGAGATTCAGAGTCCCTTGGGTGGGACAAAACCAACAACCAGCTGACTAGTGGGGCCATAATTGGAAACACTTATTTAGATTAAGGGAACCCGTGCAAGTTCTCCTCTGCATCTTATGGAAGAACAATGTGTGGTGTGTGTCTCTAATTAAGCAAGATTTAGATTTGGTACCAGGCCCTGGGTAAGGCACTTTGCCATGTATTATTTCACTTTATCTTCTGCACCAAACCCACATCAAATCATATCCATAAAGATTCTAAAAGCATATGTCCAAAGAGAGTATAAGAACTCTAAGCAAACAGGAGCAACTTAGAACAGTGCATGTCAAAGGATGTATGGTAAAGGTCCAATCTGGCAAAAACAAATATTTTTGTAAAATGCCATAAAAAAAGGATTATTAGAAAATAAAATGAAGATTTTCAGAATGTAAGCTTCCAGTTTTAAATTCTTAGATTAAACAGACATAGAATTGCATTGTTAAGTTGCTCTCAAAGTTTCTAAAACCACAATTTCTGTATTTATATATTTGCAGACCAATAACAGGATCTGGATCAACATTGGTTTATGGACTGCACTTCAAATAAAACAGATTTACAATTCACCATCCATTCCCCATCAGCCTTTCAAGAGATTAATAATTATCTTAGAGGCAGAAATGTTTTAGAAAGCAAGATATATGCATAATATTGAGACCTGGGAAACCACTAACATCCGTGGAGTTTACTGCCTACATTTATAGACTTTATCATTCCTCTGTCTTTATTCCAAAAACCTCTTGACCAGAGAGATAAAATTTGCAAATAATTTGATTGTTAAGAACTTCCCCCCAGTTCTCACTGAAATCAACATAAAATCCATAAACTTTTCAATAGATACCATTAAAACGACTGTTTACTCTCTAAGACTCTTTGAAAGCTTCACCTTGTGTCCACTGATCCTAAACAATCTTATCATGATCCTTGGCCAAACCCATTGCAAGGCCAGTTTTGAAACCTGATGCATATCCCAATTTGTCTTCCTTTCTGGTTGCTGTGTAGTCTGACAAGGAGGATCTCCCCTTATCACTGTGCACAGGAAGTACAGCTTAGCCTTCTCCACAGCTTGTTTTACAGGTTATTTTCTGGGAGCCAGGTTTCAACAGTCAACACTCTGTTCTTCCTTTCAGTTTTTCTCTGTGGTTTTCAAAGTTTAGTGAAAATCATAACAATTAGCCAGGAAAGTTGTATACATAAGAGCACTGGTGAGCAACTTAAGGGATCTCCGTGGATAATCTTGATTATGCCATATTTAGGACCTAAGCCCTGCATGCAGATATCAGCAATCTGTGAAAGAGAACCATAGAATGTTAGAACCAGAAGTATCCCAGCTGCGCTGAAATCACCCTGTGATCTATTTTCTAAAATACTTATCCTTTGATTTATCCTCAGATTTATTGAATCAGAATTTCTGGAGATGGACTTTTTAATGTTCATAGTAAACTCCCAGAGCATTGTGAGGTCCAGTCAGGTTTGAGAGTCACTATTCTGTCCCAATCACTTCATTCCATAGAGGAAGAAGTGCAGGATCAGAAAAGGGAATGGACTTTTCCAAGACCACACAGCTATTGTGCTGCATGTCTTGTAATAAGAAGTGCTTCCGGGGATAGAGATCAGATTTCGAAGATGTCCTTATGTATCTGATAATCTGGACAAAAACGCTTAATGATGTAATCAAAATACAATTTCATTGCAGCTTCCCACCATCTCTAAGATTGTAGGGAGGGGATGTAGACATTTTCCCAGGTCAGCAGACATCCTGACTCTGTTGCTTTCTGTTAGGTAAGAGGTACCAATTAAAATGTAATTTTCAAAAAAGGTAAAATTATGACTCTCAAACAAAAATAAAATGAACCTATACTCTGCTGAGGCTCTACTGATCATCTGGTTTGTTAGATATTTGTTCTACTCAGGAATTGCTGCTTGTCACTTTGCTGATTAGGCCAGGTTAAATGGGTATGCTATTAGAAGGCTTCACTAAGCCTCTTGAGAAGGAAAAACAGCTGGATCTGCAGGGACTGCATGTGGGGGCTGGGGAGAGATTTAGATCCAGGTGGTCACTCAGACCCAAGGGCCTCAGGAACACTTTTCTTTGCTCCCTTCATTCTGTCCACTCATTAGCATGCCATTGGCTAAAAACCTGCACCCCACTTTAGACTGTACGATCCCCTGCCAATTTTCAATTTCTGACAACAGTTGATCCTGTTTAGAGTCTTGATTCAGTTTATGCAGCCTAGAGCTCTTGGTGAGATGGCCCAGGTTTAATCAACTGTAGCTTGAGGGCTGGGGAGGAAACACAGCTGCCAAGTGTGTTTGTGAGAGGCAAAAACAAGAGCCCAAATGAGAACTTAAGGTGGGCATATGCAATACAGTGTGCCTTTGGATCATTTCCAGTACGAGTTCTTGAAACATATTTGTGTGACTACTACCCTGTTATTCAAGTGAGCATGGTGGTCACCCTACCACTTTTACTTTGGCAGGATCAGTTGCCCCAAGGGAGATGGTGTCTGAGGAGCCCATGGTTGCGCTTTCCCCATGCCAGTTCCCACCAACATTTAAGATCCTCCTTTGTACAAGCCATTGAGCTGCTAGAAACATGGTTGTCCTGCAAGAATAAGCCTGGGCCCTACCTTCATGTACTTCCAACTTCTCTTGGATGGGAGAAGAGAAGGATGATGGCCCTGGATAAATCCAGGTAACACTGGTGATGCCCAGTTTGATGGGGCCCAAACACATTTTGGTCCACTCCAGATATTTCTCCAGGACCTAGCTGGCTTTGTTTCATTAAGTCAAGACTTGGGCTAATTTTATAAGAAGCAAACAAGCGCCTCCAAGCAGCTGGGAGACAGAGTAACAGAGTTGGTTTGGTTCAGATCCTGGTTTGTGCTAGGATGTGTGCTGGGTGCAGTCTTCTAGGTTCCAGCACTTCCAGCCAGGAGAGTTACACATACACCCAAACTGATAAGGCCACATGTCCTGCGGCATGGGGCAGATTCAGGGGATCCTCGGCCAGCCTAGGGGCGCAGGCCGGGCCGGGGTGCGGGCCCCAGCGCACAGCTCCTTCCAGGGCGGAGGGCGGCGCGAGGGAGGGAGCGAGGGAAGGGAAAGGCGAGCGTGAGCTGCCTCAAATGCTTGGAATAATTCCGCTTCCGTTTGGAAAGCCGCAGCCTCAGTCCCGCCGCCGCCCGCCGCGTCCGCCCAGCTCCAGCTCGGCGTCCCGCTCGGCCCGCGGCTGCCCGCTCCGCCGCCATGGCTACCTCCCCGCAGAAGTCGCCCTCGGTCCCCAAGTCCCCCACTCCCAAGTCGCCCCCGTCCCGCAAGAAAGATGACTCCTTCTTGGGGAAACTCGGAGGGACCTTGGCCCGGAGGAAGAAAGCCAAGGAAGGTAGGTGCGGCGGAGCCCGACGGCCTGCAGGGGCCGGGGGCCTGGGGGCCGGGGCGCCGGGGCTGGGCGGGAGCGCGCGGCGGGTGCCCGGCGCGGTTAGGCGCGCAGCGAGGCGTGCGCGCGCTGCCTGGAAGTCGGCGGGAGCTAGACGCACCCCGCACTGCGGCCCTGCGCGGGTGGGTCGCGGAGGCCGCTCTTCCCGGCGCCTCCCTGATGCTGCTGTCCAGGGCCTGGGGCCAGGCGGACGCCTCCGCTGGGCCGAGGGCGGGCGCCGCGTGGCCTCGGGAGGCGGCCGGACCCAGAGCTCGGGCCGGGACCCAGCCCCATCCCGTAGGCAGCGTCCTCCAGTGGGCCCGTGTCCCCGCCCTCCCAGCGCCCGAGGGCTGGCATTGACCAAGTTTCTACTGAAACTTTCCGGGCGCCGTCATTCTCTCTCTTTGCCTTCATTGGTCTTTAAAATCAGGTCGTTTGGGCTTACTGAAGTCCTTGTAGCAGCGAAGCAGCGTTGGCCTCTTGGGCTGTTTTCTACATCCCCAGGGCTCTGTTAATGGAGTTGATCAATATCAAAAGTTTATTGAATGAATGAGTGAAGAACTGGCTGTCCTAGCGGTACCGCGGGGGTAGTAAATGATAAACTTGGAACTCTGACTCTAGAATACCCGGGTTAGATACAAACTTGGCATCATGAGCCGTGACCCTGCTGTGAACTCAGACATTCAGGGACTTTACAAACCACATTTTCTTTTTTCCCCACCGTGGTGAAATTAAGGTGATCTTCTCCCCCTCCCCAGGATGTAAGATAATTTTGTCCTGTGGGTAGAATTTGCATCCTGGGTTTTGATTTGGAAGATGAGGCCGCATTTCTCTAGAAGCATTCTAGTGATTGACAGATGCGTGGGTAGAGGTTGCCGGGTTAAAAAGTTTTGAATACATTGCTCCGTGGACTGGAAATAACCCTTCTGAAAGCTGTGACGTTGAGATGTAAAATGAGTTATGTTCCTTAACTTTTTTTAAAGCATAAAAACCAATTTCGGTGTTGAGAATTAGCTGGACCCAAAAACTAGACCTCTGTTCCCTAGGTAAACATAAGAAGCAGCAAAACACATTCCCCAAATTTTCCTCAATTTTATCATTTTCTCCCTTATCCACAGGTGGTGTGTTCCAAGACCCCCAGTAGATGCCTGAAATCATTGATAGTACCAAACTCTATATCAACCGGTCTTTCATATATATATATATATATATATATATATATATATATATATATATGACAAAGTTTAATCTATAGGCTAGGCACAGTAAGATGTTAACAATAATGACTAAAATAGAACAGTTATTTATATTGTAATACAAGTTATATGAATGTGGCCTTTCTCAAAAAGTCTTATTGTATTTACCTGCCCTTCTTATGATGGTGTGAGAAGATACACTGTCCATGTGATGAGATGAAGTGAGACCAGTCACATAGGCATCGTGATTTAGTTAGACTACTAGGTGGGGATTAATTTAATACAGGTCCTGCAATACTGTGACAGTGGATCTAATAATTCAGCCAGTAACCAAGGTGACTACTAAGTGAGGAATGGTGGGTAGCATATGCAGTGTGGATACGCTGAACAAAGGGATGATTCATGTCCCAGGCAGGGGTGGGGTGGGGTCAGGCACAAGATGTCATCATGCTATTTGGAATGGTGTACAGTTTCAAACGTATGAGTTGTGTAGTTGGAATTTTCCACTCATGGTGTGCAATTTAAAATTTATGAACTATTTTCTAGGCTGCATTTCTAATGTTTTCTTACAGGGTTCCTAATAGGGGCTCATCCAGCTTCAGACTGGGCAACTCAGAATTACTGAGGACTCACCCTACCTTTAGCAACTATGGGAAAAGTTTCCATTTAGCCAAAACGTGTTTTTTCTATACCTGCTACTGTCTGTGGACCAGGAGAGTAAGTTTGACAGTGTCCAGTTAACCTTCTTAAATAGACTGTGCTTTCTGGAATCTTCCCTTGGCCAGGCCAGGCATCTCCTCCCTATTGGAGCTGTTCTGCATAGACATGACCTTAAGGCTTTCTGGCATCCTGTCCCTTCAGTTGCATTCAAGGTCCCTGCAGGAAACAGAAGGCCGACTTAGTTGGGATTTTGAAAATAATTAGTGAAGGGATTATTTATAGAGCTGTGGGAAGGTTAAAGGAAGCAAAAGGGATGCTGAGATGCTGAGGGGCTAGCAATAGGAGGAAGCTGTTACCACCTCAAAGCCTGAAGGGACGAGGGAAGCAAACTGGAAACTGAGAAGCTGGAGCTGTGGAAGAGAGGTCGTTCACTAGGACTGTCATAGCAAAAGGACATAGCTACTGCCAGAAAGAGGGAGAGACTGGTACAAAAAAAGGCATGTTTTCTTTCTTCTTGCTCTTGAATCTATTCAAGGCTGAACCTAGTAGGAAGCTGCCAGGGCAAGGGAATTTGGGTGCAGCAATTTGTAAGGGCCAGCTCCTGCGTATTCATAAGCAAAGAATAGACCACAGAGGGAAGTGGAGGGAGATGGTGAATACCTAGCAGACCCTGTCAGAGTGAGCTGCCCAGAAGTCTACATAGTACAGTAGTCAAAGCCACCCGGCTCCAAATGGAACAGGCCTGTCGCCTCCCTTATTCTAACATAGACAATATTCTATTAAGGCAGCCAAGGGTGCTTTTTCTTTACTCTGGGAACTATATCACACAATCTCTTATCGAACTTGTTATCAGCTTAGTCAAAGGGATTTTTATATTTGTTGCTTCTTAACCATGCCCTTCCCTATCATGGATTCACTCAATTAGGTTTTTGAAACCAAGTACAAAGTCTTTGTTTTATCCCTTTTATACTTTTTTTTTTTCATTTTGTTGTTTTGTTTTACTTTTTAATATTGAAGGTTGAACTCAGGGTCTAATGCATGCTAGACAAGTGCTCTACCACTGAGCCACATCTCCAGTCCAATAATACCTATTTCTTGGTGTTGTTCCCTGTTATACTTAACTGTAATGTCCTGATTCTGTCATTCAGCCTTTTAGGTAATATAGAAGCCTTACATGGATGAATGGGAGAGCTCGCAGCTTCTAATGGGGCTGGCCACCACCCAGCTGTGGCTGCTTGCTGCTGCCTGGGGGTGGGTCTATGAGTCAGTCCAAGAAATTAGTGGGGCTGGTGGGAAATGACTGTTCTTAGTGTGGGCTGGGTCTCTGTGATCAGGGCTTCCCCTGTCAAGGGCCCACTAACATCACTGCAGTAACAGTAAGGCTGGCTCTTGCTTGGCATCCTGCATAAGCTCACAGATCTATGCTTTGATGACTATGCCTTCTTCCACTTTCCCCATAGTGTTCTAGAACCTCTCATTCTTCACGATTCCTCAAGATCACTGATATCCGTATGTCTACAAGTTATGACATAGGATTCTCCTGGGCCCAACAACTCCCTTTCACTCATTTGATGCCTACTGTGTTCCCTCAGTATAAGAAATAAAGAGTGGAAAGACATAATACATGTTAGACTCTTTAGGTCCATAATTTCACATAAAATATGTGTTTCTATAGATATTTAATACATATATCATAAAGTAATTATGACTCGTAAGAATACATTATTTCTCTATTTTTATTTTTAATTTGTTTATTTTTTGCAGGGCTGGGAATGGAACCCAGGGCCTTGCCCATGCTAGGCAAGCACTTTATCACTGAACTACATCCCCAACCTTCATATAAAAATACCTTAAACAAATACTGATTCTTGCATTTTGGTAAGAAAAAGTAGTGTTAGGCAAGAAAGAATTGGTAATTCAAAGCATAGTCTTTAAGATCAGACGTGTTGGGGTTGATTTCTGCTCTAGCCTCTTATTGATTGCTGTAACTTAGGACAAGTTCCATCAAATCTCTTAACTTCTGTTTCTTCACCTGTGACATGAAAATAAAAATTGCATCTTTACATGGAAGTTGTTTGGGCTAGAATGAGATAGAACATGTAATGTACATTGCGTGGCACAAATAATCGTAGCTTATAAAATTGAGAACTCACTTTTAAAGAGTCTTTGGAATTTGAAATAGTCTTTTTATTGTGGACTGCAGAAAGGTTTATAAATTCTATAAATAGCCAAGTAGCCCGAGACTGTGAGGAACCTCGTGTGGCACTATTTGGTCCCTTTAGAGACAAAGGGGCCTTTTTTTTGCAAATCAGATCCTCCCCTTAGCCAAGGTGTCACATTCTGGCATTTCAGAGGATCCAGGCCCACTTTCCTGAGTTGTAGGAGGTGGCTTTAGTTTTTCTTCTATGGATCTTCTCCTCTGGGTTTCCAGTCTCCATCTGTTGGTGCCTGGACTGATCACTTGGACTCAACTTGCCAGAGGGCCACTTTTCATCTTTCTTCCTCCAGATGTGTCCCTAATACTTGCTCTTTCAGGACATCATCTTGACTTAAGTGCCAGCTGAATGTATCCCAAATTAGGTCAGCAGCTGTGGGCACTGTCTTTACCCATTTAGTATGTTCTTAAGAGTTTTGCATTTTGCTCAGTACCTAATGAGGGCTTTAATGTAATTATAATAATGATAATAATAAATTTTATTTCAGTTCTGGGATCAAACCTAGGCCTCACATGTACTAAGCAAGCCCTGAACCACACCTCCAGCCTTAAAGTCGTAATTCCTTTAATAATACTAGCATCTACCCCTGGATTCTGACTGGCTGGCCAGCGTTGCTGAGGAAACTCCCTGATCCGCGCAGTGGATGTTTGGTCTGTAGAACGAGCAAGTCCCCAGCACTGCACAGCAGTCTATGCTTGTTTCCTGCTCAACTTCACTCTCATTTTCCAAAGTGCCTTCTCCAGGGCCTTGTCACTCAGGTCCTTCCCTGGACTTTGAGACAGAATATTGAGGGTCAGGTTTGAGTGACTTCATGTTCCCTTCAATCTGTCCAGTGCTACCCAGATCTACAGCTCTGCTTTCATGCTTTCTTCCTGTCCCAGACCCTTCTGAGGAG